TGAGTTGACTGGTGTTGTGATGCGTGTTGACTGGTGTGATGTGTGTTGACTAGTGTTTTGATGCGTGTTGACTGGTGTTGTGATGCGTGTTGACTGGTGTTGTGATGCGTGTTGACTGGTGTTGTGATGCGTGTTGACTGGTGTTGTGATGTGAGTTGACTGGTGTTGTGATGTGCGTTGACTGGTGTTGTGATGCGTGTTGACTGGTGTTGTGATGTAAGTTGACTGGTGTTGTGATGTGAGTTGACTGGTGTTGTGATGCGTGTTGACTGGTGTTGTGATGTGTGTTGACTGGTGTTGTGATGTGAGTTGACTGGTGTTGTGATGCGTGTTGACTGGTGTTGTGATGTGAGTTGACTGGTGTTGTGATGCGTGTTGACTGGTGTTGTGATGCGTGTTGACTGGTGTTGTGATGTGAGTTGACTGGTGTTGTGATGTGTGTTGACTGGTGTGATGCGTGTTGACTGGTGTTGTGATGCGTGTTGACTGGTGTTGTGATGCGTGTTGACTGGTGTTGTGATGTGAGTTGACTGGTGTTGTGATGTGAGTTGACTGGTGTTGTGATGCGTGTTGACTGGTGTGATGTGTGTTGACTGGTGTTTTGATGCGTGTTGACTGGTGTTGTGATGCGTGTTGACTGGTGTTGTGATGCGTGTTGACTGGTGTTGTGATGTGAGTTGACTGGTGTTGTGATGTGCGTTGACTGGTGTTGTGATGCGTGTTGACTGGTGTTGTGATGTGAGTTGACTGGTGTTGTGATGCGTGTTGACTGGTGTTGTGATGTGTGTTGACTGGTGTTGTGATGTGAGTTGACTGGTGTTGTGATGTGTGTTGACTGGTGTTGTGATGTGTGTTGACTGGTGTTGTGATGTGTGTTGACTGGTGTTTTGATGTGAGTTGACTGGTGTTGTGATGTGAGTTGACTGGTGTTGTGATGTGAGTTGACTGGTGTTGTGATGTGAGTTGACTGGTGTTGTGATGTGTGTTGACTGGTGTGATGTGTGTTGACTGGTGTTTTGATGCGTGTTGACTGGTGTTGTGATGCGTGTTGACTGGTGTTGTGATGCGTGTTGACTGGTGTTGTGATGTGAGTTGACTGGTGTTGTGATGTGTGTTGACTGGTGTGATGTGTGTTGACTGGTGTTGTGATGTGTGTTGACTGGTGTTGTGATGCGTGTTGACTGGTGTTGTGATGTGAGTTGACTGGTGTTGTGATGTGAGTTGACTGGTGTTGTGATGTGCGTTGACTGGTGTTGTGATGCGTGTTGACTGGTGTTGTGATGCGTGTTGACTGGTGTTGTGATGTGAGTTGACTGGTGTTGTGATGTGAGTTGACTGGTGTTGTGATGTGTGTTGACTGGTGTTGTGATGCGTGTTGACTGGTGTTGTGATGCGTGTTGACTGTTGTTGTGATGCGTGTTGACTGGTGTTGTGATGTGAGTTGACTGGTGTTGTGATGTGAGTTGACTGGTGTTGTGATGTGTGTTGACTGGTGTGATGTGTGTTGACTGTTGTGATGTGTGTTGACTGGTGTTGTGATGTGAGTTGACTGGTGTTGTGATGTGAGTTGACTGGTGTTGTGATGTGAGTTGACTGGTGTTGTGATGTGTGTTGACTGGTGTGATGTGTGTTGACTGGTGTTTTGATGCGTGTTGACTGGTGTTGTGATGCGTGTTGACTGGTGTTGTGATGCGTGTTGACTGGTGTTGTGATGTGAGTTGACTGGTGTTGTGATGTGTGTTGACTGGTGTGATGTGTGTTGACTGGTGTTGTGATGTGTGTTGACTGGTGTTGTGATGCGTGTTGACTGGTGTTGTGATGCGTGTTGACTGGTGTTGTGATGTGAGTTGACTGGTGTTGTGATGTGAGTTGACTGGTGTTGTGATGTGCGTTGACTGGTGTTGTGATGCGTGTTGACTGGTGTTGTGATGTGAGTTGACTGGTGTTGTGATGTGAGTTGACTGGTGTTGTGATGTGAGTTGACTGGTGTTGTGATGTGTGTTGACTGGTGTGATGTGTGTTGACTGGTGTTTTGATGCGTGTTGACTGGTGTTGTGATGCGTGTTGACTGGTGTTGTGATGCGTGTTGACTGGTGTTGTGATGTGAGTTGACTGGTGTTGTGATGTGCGTTGACTGGTGTTGTGATGCGTGTTGACTGGTGTTGTGATGTGAGTTGACTGGTGTTGTGATGTGAGTTGACTGGTGTTGTGATGTGAGTTGACTGGTGTTGTGATGTGTGTTGACTGGTTTTGTGATGTGAGTTGACTGGTGTTGTGATGCGTGTTGACTGGTGTTGTGATGTGAGTTGACTGGTGTTGTGATGCGTGTTGACTGGTGTTGTGATGTGAGTTGACTGGTGTTGTGATGCGTGTTGTTGACTGGTGTTGTGATGTGAGTTGACTGGTGTTGTGATGTGTGTTGACTGGTGTTGTGATGCGTGTTGACTGGTGTTGTGATGCGTGTTGACTGGTGTTGTGATGCGTGTTGACTGGTGTTGTGATGCGTGTTGACTGGTGTTGTGATGTGTGTTGACTGGTGTTGTGATGCGTGTTGTTGACTGGTGTTGTGATGTGAGTTGACTGGTGTTGTGATGTGTGTTGACTGGTGTTGTGATGCGTGTTGACTGGTGTTGTGATGTGAGTTGACTGGTGTTGTGATGCGTGTTGTTGACTGGTGTTGTGATGTGAGTTGACTGGTGTTGTGATGTGAGTTGACTGGTGTTGTGATGCGTGTTGACTGGTGTTGTGATGTGAGTTGACTGGTGTTGTGATGCGTGTTGTTGACTGGTGTTGTGATGTGAGTTGACTGGTGTTGTGATGTGTGTTGACTGGTGTTGTGATGCGTGTTGACTGGTGTTGTGATGTGTGTTGACTGGTGTTGTGATGCGTGTTGACTGGTGTTGTGATGCGTGTTGACTGGTGTTGTGATGTGTGTTGACTGGTGTTGTGATGCGTGTTGACTGGTGTTGTGATGTGTGTTGACTGGTGTTGTGATGTGAGTTGACTGGTGTTGTGATGTGAGTTGACTGGTGTTGTGATGTGAGTTGACTGGTGTTGTGATGTGTGTTGACTGGTTTTGTGATGTGAGTTGACTGGTGTTGTGATGCGTGTTGACTGGTGTTGTGATGTGAGTTGACTGGTGTTGTGATGCGTGTTGACTGGTGTTGTGATGTGAGTTGACTGGTGTTGTGATGCGTGTTGTTGACTGGTGTTGTGATGTGAGTTGACTGGTGTTGTGATGTGTGTTGACTGGTGTTGTGATGCGTGTTGACTGGTGTTGTGATGTGTGTTGACTGGTGTTGTGATGCGTGTTGACTGGTGTTGTGATGTGAGTTGACTGGTGTTGTGATGTGTGTTGACTGGTGTGATGTGTGTTGACTGGTGTGATGTGTGTTGACTGGTGTTGTGATGTGAGTTGACTGGTGTTGTGATGTGTGTTGACTGGTGTGATGTGTGTTGACTGGTGTTGTGATTTGTGTTGACTGGTGTTGTGATGTGTGTTGTGACTGGTGTTGTGATGTGTGTTGACTGGTGTGATGTGTGTTGACTGGTGTTGTGATGTGTGTTGACTGGTGTTGTGATGTGTGTTGACTGGTGTTGTGATGCGTGTTGACTGGTGTGATGTGAGTTGACTGGTGTGATGTGAGTTGACTGGTGTGATGTGAGTTGACTGGTGTTGTGATGCGTGTTGACTGGTGTGATGTGAGTTGACTGGTGTGATGTGTGTTGTGTGTTGACTGGTGTTATGTGTGTTGACTGGTGTTGTGATGTGAGTTGACTGGTGTTTTGATGTGTGTTGACTGGTGTTGTGATGTGTGTTGACTGGTGTTGTGATGTGTGTTGACTGGTGTTGTGATGTGTGTTGACTGGTGTTGTGATGCGTGTTGACTGGTGTGATGTGAGTTGACTGGTGTGATGTGAGTTGACTGGTGTGATGTGAGTTGACTGGTGTTGTGATGCGTGTTGACTGGTGTGATGTGAGTTGACTGGTGTGATGTGTGTTGTGTGTTGACTGGTGTGATGTGTGTTGACTGGTGTTGTGATGTGAGTTGAATGGTGTTGTGATGTGTGTTGACTGGTGTTGTGATGTGTGTTGACTGGTGTTGTGATGTGAGTTGACTGGTGGTGTGATGTGAGTTGACTGGTGTGATGTGAGTTGACTGGTGTTGTGATGTGTGTTGACTGGTGTTGTAATGTGTGTTGACTGGTGTTGTGATGTGAGTTGACTGGTGTTGTGATGCGTGTTGACTGGTGTTGTAATGTGTGTTGACTGGTGGTGTGATGTGTGTTGACTGGTGTTGTGATGTGAGTTGACTGGTGTGATGTGAGTTGACTGGTGTTGTGATGTGTGTTGACTGGTGTTGTAATGTGTGTTGACTGGTGGTGTGATGTGTGTTGACTGGTGTTGCGATGTGTGTTGACTGGTCTGATGTGTGTTGACTGGTGTTGTGATGTGTGTTGACTGGTGTGATGTGTGTTGACTGGTGTTGTGATGTGTGTTGACTGGTGTGATGTGTGTTGACTGGTGTGATGTGTGTTGACTGGTGTGATGTGAGTTGACTGGTGTGATGTGAGTTGACTGGTGTTGTGATGCGTGTTGACTGGTCTGATGTGTGTTGACTGGTGTTGTGATGTGTGTTGACTGGTGTTGTGATGTGTGTTGACTGGTGTTGTGATGTGAGTTGACTGGTGTTGTGATGCGTGTTGACTGGTGTTGTGATGCGTGTTGACTGGTGTGATGTGAGTTGACTGGTGTGATGTGAGTTGACTGGTGTGATGTGTGTTGACTGGTGTTGTGATGTGAGTTGACTGGTGTGATGTGAGTTGACTGGTGTTGTGATGTGTGTTGACTGGTGTTGTAATGTGTGTTGACTGGTGGTGTGATGTGTGTTGACTGGTGTTGTGATGTGTGTTGACTGGTCTGATGTGTGTTGACTGGTGTTGTGATGTGTGTTGACTGGTGTGATGTGTGTTGACTGGTGTTGTGATGTGTCCCTCAGATCACAGGACCGGCGTGTGTTTCTCTGAGGTCCTGCACAGCATGTGTGAGATGTCCTCCAGCAGGCGTGCTCCTGTGAGCTGGTCTCAGTGCTGCTGTAGTGGAGGCCGAGGCTGGGGTGAGCAGTGTGACCTCTGCCCTCTGCCGGACACTGCCAGCCTGAAGAAGCTCTGTCCGTATGGCCACGGCTACGCCACTGACGGATCAGGTGAGGAATCACGTGACGAACTTCGCAAAAACAGCAGCGACACAAAGCTCAAATCTGAGAACTCAAGGTCTGAGAACCAGGTGTGTGTTCAGGCGCATTGTTGGCGTGTTACTATTCTGAGGCACTGAAATAGACTGAGCCGTTGACCAACTGAAACCTGCTCTAAAACAATGGCGCTATATTTTTTCTTGTTATTTAAAGAGCGGGTTATGCGCCTATAGGTGGGTCCACAACGCGCATACACTCTGCTTATTACACAGACACACACACACACACACACACACACTCTCTGCTTATTAGACACAAATAAGCAGATTACACACAAATAAGCGTAGCAGCACACAAACATGCCAAACATTAAAAATAAAAGGATTACAATGTAAAAGATTGTGTACATAAAGATATGGTGTAATCCGGCTTGTCCTGTAGATGGTTTGCTTGCCCGCTTTAACCTCGCGCACGAGCAGATCCGTTTCCTGGATTCCTAAATGCGCTTAGATCCTTACAATAGCCCTTAAAGTCTCTAAACATCTAAAACAGAAGATTCAAAGAAATACACAGCACCGTAAATGGAGGCAGGGCAGGGCAGGGCAGGGCAGGTCATTGATTTAAGCTAGGGACAACAGCAGACACAGAGAAACATACAGGGAGTTTGCAGGTAGTGCTACACATACAGTATACTCGGACGTTTCATATGTCAGAAATCCCTATTATCAGATGATGGGTATCAGAGAATGTGAGATTTCCTTTTATGACCTTACTTTTCAGTAAAGCTCTCTGTCTGTCCACAGATATAGATGAGTGTAAGCTGATTCCAGGAGTGTGTGTCAACGGTGTGTGTTTCAACACCATGGGCTCTTACAGATGCCACTGCGAACTAGGATACATGGCCTCCACTGCAGGAACCATGTGTGTCGGTACGCCACAAACACTCAGCTTTATAACTATCAGTCTTTCAAATCCGCCTGATGTATGGACAGAGGGATTGTTGTTTGCTACTCCTCAAGATCATGGTTGTGTGCTTGTGTTTCTGTCAGATGTCGATGAGTGTGGTTTGTCCCCGAAGCCCTGTAACGTCCTGTGCAGGAACAGCGAGGGCAGCTATGCGTGCTCCTGTCCCCGCGGGTACACGCTGCAGGACGACCACAGGACCTGTAGAGGTCAGGAGCGGGGGGCTCTTGCGCTCGGGCACTTTTCGCAGAAATATTCTGTGCAAGTCATTAAAAAAAATATGAAATCATTGTGTAGATCTTGTTTTATAAGTTTTCCTGTGATTTAGTTTGAGTTAATTGTTTATTACTAATTTGGTGTGTCATTTACATTTTTTCTGTAACACTTTACAATAAGGTTCATTAGTTAACATTAGTGTAATGGGGTTCGTTGTTATGGGAAGAAGGAGGCGGGAACCGGCGAACGTTTAACAATATTTAATAACATAAAATAAAACAAATACAAAACGAAAGTAAAAGACAGCAGCCCCTCACGGACGACTGCTGTCACATATAATAAAACAAAACACAACATAAGTTCAGGCCTGTTCCTCTCTCTGTCTTCACTGTCGTCGCTCCTCTTTATGCCTCCGCTCCTCCGTGAGAGATGCGAGACCGGTGCGTCTCTCAGGTGTCGGTCATTATCACTCACGCCACCGGCCTCGCGCCGCTCTCTCACAGCCCTCGGCCTGGTCCTGCTCTCTCACGGCCCTCGTCCTCGTCCTGCTCTCTCACGGCCCTCGGCCTCGTCCTGCTCTCTCACGGCCCTCGGCCTCGTCCTGCTCTCTCACGCCACCGGCCTCGTCCTGCTCTCTCACGCCCTCGGCCTCGTCCTGCTCTCTCACGGCCCTCGGCCTCGTCCTGCTCTCTCACGGCCCTCGGCCTCATCCTGCTCTCTCACACCACCGGCCTCGTCCTGCTCTCTCACACCACCGGCCTCGTCCTGCTCTCTCACGCCCTCGGCCTCATCCTGCTCTCTCACGGCCCTCGGCCTCGTCCTGCTCTCTCACGCCACCGGCCTCGTCCTGCTCTCTCACGGCCCTCGGCCTCGTCCTGCTCTCTCACGCCACCGGCCTCGTCCTGCTCTCTCACGCCCTCGGCCTCGTCCTGCTCTCTCACGGCCTGCTCTCTCACGGCCCTCGGCCTCGTCCTGCTCTCTCACGGCCCTCGGCCTCGTCCTGCTCTCTCACGGCCCTCGGCCTCGTCCTGCTCTCTCACGGCCCTCGGCCTCGTCCTGCTCTCTCACGCCACCGGCCTCATCCTGCTCTCTCACGGCCCTCGGCCTCATCCTGCTCTCTCACACCACCGGCCTCGTCCTGCTCTCTCACACCACCGGCCTCGTCCTGCTCTCTCACGCCCTCGGCCTCATCCTGCTCTCTCACGGCCCTCGGCCTCGTCCTGCTCTCTCACGCCACCGGCCTCGTCCTGCTCTCTCACGGCCCTCGGCCTCGTCCTGCTCTCTCACGCCACCGGCCTCGTCCTGCTCTCTCACGCCCTCGGCCTCGTCCTGCTCTCTCACGGCCTGCTCTCTCACGGCCCTCGGCCTCGTCCTGCTCTCTCACACCACCGGCCTCGTCCTGCTCTCTCACACCACCGGCCTCGTCCTGCTCTCTCACGCCACCGGCCTCGTCCTGCTCTCTCACGGCCCTCGGCCTCGTCCTGCTCTCTCACGCCACCGGCCTCGTCCTGCTCTCTCACGCCCTCGGCCTCGTCCTGCTCTCTCACACCCTCGGCCTCGTCCTGCTCTCTCACGGCCCTCGGCCTCATCCTGCTCTCTCACACCACCGGCCTCGTCCTGCTCTCTCACACCACCGGCCTCGTCCTGCTCTCTCACGCCCTCGGCCTCATCCTGCTCTCTCACGGCCCTCGGCCTCGTCCTGCTCTCTCACGCCACCAGCCTCGTCCTGCTCTCTCACGGCCCTCGGCCTCGTCCTGCTCTCTCACGCCACCGGCCTCGTCCTGCTCTCTCACGCCCTCGGCCTCGTCCTGCTCTCTCACGGCCTGCTCTCTCACGGCCCTCGGCCTCGTCCTGCTCTCTCACGGCCCTCGGCCTCGTCCTGCTCTCTCACGGCCCTCGGCCTCATCCTGCTCTCTCACACCACCGGCCTCGTCCTGCTCTCTCACACCACCGGCCTCGTCCTGCTCTCTCACGCCCTCGGCCTCATCCTGCTCTCTCACGGCCCTCGGCCTCGTCCTGCTCTCTCACGGCCCTCGGCCTCGTCCTGCTCTCTCACGCCACCGGCCTCGTCCTGCTCTCTCACGCCCTCGGCCTCGTCCTGCTCTCTCACGGCCTGCTCTCTCACGGCCCTCGGCCTCGTCCTGCTCTCTCACACCACCGGCCTCGTCCTGCTCTCTCACACCACCGGCCTCGTCCTGCTCTCTCACGCCACCGGCCTCGTCCTGCTCTCTCACGGCCCTCGGCCTCGTCCTGCTCTCTCACGCCACCGGCCTCGTCCTGCTCTCTCACGCCCTCGGCCTCGTCCTGCTCTCTCACACCCTCGGCCTCGTCCTGCTCTCTCACGGCCCTCGGCCTCATCCTGCTCTCTCACACCACCGGCCTCGTCCTGCTCTCTCACACCACCGGCCTCGTCCTGCTCTCTCACGCCCTCGGCCTCATCCTGCTCTCTCACGGCCCTCGGCCTCGTCCTGCTCTCTCACGCCACCAGCCTCGTCCTGCTCTCTCACGGCCCTCGGCCTCGTCCTGCTCTCTCACGCCACCGGCCTCGTCCTGCTCTCTCACGCCCTCGGCCTCGTCCTGCTCTCTCACGGCCTGCTCTCTCACGGCCCTCGGCCTCGTCCTGCTCTCTCACGGCCCTCGGCCTCGTCCTGCTCTCTCACGGCCCTCGGCCTCGTCCTGCTCTCTCACGGCCCTCGGCCTCGTCCTGCTCTCTCACGGCCCTCGGCCTCGTCCTGCTCTCTCACGCCACCGGCCTCGTCCTGCTCTCTCACGCCACCGGCCTCGTCCTGCTCTCTCACGCCCTCGGCCTCGTCCTGCTCTCTCACGGCCCTCGGCCTCGTCCTGCTCTCTCACGCCACCGGCCTCGTCCTGCTCTCTCACGGCCCTCGGCCTCGTCCTGCTCTCTCACGGCCCTCGGCCTCGTCCTGCTCTCTCACGGCCCTCGGCCTCGTCCTGCTCTCTCACGCCACCGGCCTCGTCCTGCTCTCTCACGGCCCTCGGCCTCGTCCTGCTCTCTCACGGCCCTCGGCCTCGTCCTGCTCTCTCACGGCCCTCGGCCTCGTCCTGCTCTCTCACGCCACCGGCCTCGTCCTGCTCTCTCACGGCCCTCGGCCTCGTCCTGCTCTCTCACGGCCCTCGGCCTCGTCCTGCTCTCTCACGGCCCTCGGCCTCGTCCTGCTCTCTCACGGCCCTCGGCCTCGTCCTGCTCTCTCACGCCACCGGCCTCGTCCTGCTCTCTCACGGCCCTCGGCCTCGTCCTGCTCTCTCACGCCACCGGCCTCGTCCTGCTCTCTCACGCCACCGGCCTCGTCCTGCTCTCTCACGCCCTCGGCCTCGTCCTGCTCTCTCACACCACCGGCCTCGTCCTGCTCTCTCACGCCCTCGGCCTCGTCCTGCTCTCTCACGGCCCTCGGCCTCGTCCTGCTCTCTCACACCACCGGCCTCGTCCTGCTCTCTCACGGGCCCTCGGCCTCGTCCTGCTCTCTCACACCACCGGCCTCGTCCTGCTCTCTCACACCACCGGCCTCGTCCTGCTCTCTCACGGCCCTCGGCCTCGTCCTGCTCTCTCACGGCCCTCGGCCTCGTCCTGCTCTCTCACGGCCCTCGGCCTCGTCCTGCTCTCTCACACCACCGGGCTCGTCCTGCTCTCTCACGCCCTCGGCCTCGTCCTGCTCACCACAATTAGTTATGAACTAATAATGAACTGCACGTATACAGCATTTATTCATCTTTGTTAATGTTAATTTAAACATTTACTAATACTTTATTCAAATATTATTCACATTAGTTAATGCACTGTGAACTAACATGAACAAACAATGAACAGCTTTATTTTTATTAATTAACATTAACAAAGATTAACAAATACAGTAACAAATGTATTGCTCATGGTTAGTTCATGTTAGTTAATACATTAATGTTAAATAATGAACCTTATTGTAAAGTGTTACCATTTTTTCTTTATAGATCTGAATAGACGCATTGTTTTGTCTTGCTCACAGTAGTCGGGGACACTTAATCTTCAACAGTATTATTGATCTGACTGAACACTGACACTGTTGTATGAGACCTGAACTGAGCTGGACGATGACATCACTGTTTTCTGCAGAGCTGCTTCATAGTTGAATTGAACGCATTTCATAAATGATGATCTTTACACAGTTATTGAACTGAACTGAATCAACACTGAACTGACACTATTGTCTTTACAGCAGAACTGAACTCTGTTCGCATCATTGATCTTTATGTCACTGTTATCTCTGTAAAGCTGCTTTGAAACAGTCTGTATTGTATAAAGCACTATAGAAATAAAGGTGACTTGACTTTGAAGGACAAAGGTCTGATCCAGCATGTGCGGAGTGTAATGGATGACATGTGGTGTAATTTGAGGAGTGAATTGTTAGTTGATGACAGAGCAGTTAGTCACAAAACACTTACTGACCATCATAGCAAGACTTTTAGACTGAGATGTCTAGCGGCAGAGTAAAAGCAGCAGTTTGATTTGAGTTTTTGATGTACAGATGTGGATGAGTGTCAGAGCCGACGACACACCTGCCAGTTCTCGTGTGTGAACACCATGGGTGGCTTCAGCTGCAGGTGTCCGGCGGGCTTCAGCCAGCAGCGCGCGGCCTGCCGAGGTCACACACACACACACTCAGGACTCCTCTCCTGTGACACAACGCTGCATCACTTCACAAATACACCAGTAGTGTTTGGAAAATGGTAACGCTTTAGAATAATGGTCCATCATTAATAAGTAACTATGCAGGAAGTGATGCGGGACTAATGAGTAGCACTACATTAACATTTCAGCTTCTACTATTAACTAATATAGAAACAAGCTTAACTAATCAGTAAGTAATATCAAAATTAGGAGATAGTTCCTTATTAGGTAATCAATAATTACTAGCCTCATTAATAACTATTTACTAACTGACAAATTATAAAGAACATTATCATTTGTCTGAGACGTAATCAGTCATAATTTTTACTCTAAATGTACAAACATGTTTTTCACTTTGAAATAATGGTCCAGATCACTACTAGTTCCTGCATAATGACTTGAGTAATTAGTGAAGCATTTTATGACCACAACGCATCCCTGAAGTGTCAGCAGAGATTGTGTCAACTAGACTCTCCCCTGTAAGGCCTCATCGACACGACAGCCATCGGCACTGATCCTCAACAAACCCGTCTCCATACCGGCGTGACTCCGATCTTCAACCAGATGAACTGGATAAATATTGTGAATGTTCTGATCCAATCTGACCTCTGACCTGTAATGCTGCCTGAATCATTATCACACACTGTTCGCTCGTTGACCAAAGGAGAACTTAGCGACTGAGCCTGAGTCTTAATTTCTCCATTCCTCCACTGATGGAGGTTTGGTTCCTCTCCACTGTCGCCTTTGTTGCCATTGGCTTGGCTTGCTTAGTTGGGGACATTAAATGTAATTTAATATGCAACAATAATATTGATCTATTATACAAGAACTGAACTGAGCTGGACATCACAGTTTTCTCCAGAGCGGCTATATATATAAAAATTAACTAAATAACTTTTTTTAAAACAAAAATGAACCATCACTAAACTTACGTAAGCTGGACTATGACGCTATTTTCTTCTAGACACAAACTTTGTTGCATTATTTTCCTGTTATCTCTGTAAAGCTGCTTTGAAACACTCTGTTTTGTATAAAGCGCTATATAAATAAATGTGATAAATGTAAATTCAGAGTAACAAATATGACTGATTACGTCTCAGACACACGACAATGTTCTTTATAATTTGTCAGTTAGTAAATAGTTATTAATGAGGCTAGTAATTATTGATTACCTAATAAGGAACTATCTCCTTATTTTGATATTACTTACTGATTGGTTAAGCTTGTTTCTATATTAGTTAATAGTAGAAGCTGAAATGTTAATGTAGTGCTACTCATTAGTCCCGCATCACTTCCTGCATAGTTACTTATTAATGATGGACCATTATTCTAAAGCGTTACCATACATACTTTGTTTCATTGTATGTGATTATGATCATAGTAAATGAAGTAAAACGCAGTATGTCAGTCAGGTGTGTGACCTCCTGTGGTTGTCTTTGTGTCTGTCTCCTCTCAGATGTGGATGAGTGTCTGTCTGAGCGGAGTCCGTGTGGCCTGCGGGGCGTCTGCCAGAATTCAGTGGGCAGCTTCCACTGTGAGTGTCCACAGGGCTTCAGACTGGACTCCCTCGGACTCAACTGTCACGGTACGGCCCTGGGTTTCTCAATTATTTGTTGCAATCTTGAAGTAAAAGTTTAGAATCAAGTCCCATCCTACATTTTGACCCTCACTGAATATACTATTTCACTCTGACATGTAACATTACAAAGAAAATGGGTTGCAAATGGTGTTTCATGTTGTCTTTCGCAGTAAAAAATGTGCACTGCTTCATATTACTACAACGATTTAATTTTATAGAGTTCTATACACAGGAAGTTAATATTGAGTTAACTGACATTTCAGATACAATATGGGAATTTTTCTTCAGAACCTCATTGGTTCTTGCTGAATCTCAAATATGCTGCGTAACACGAAAATGAACCTCATTGGTTCTTGCTGAAACACAAACATGCCGCGTAACACACTAGAATGAACCTCATTGGTTCTTGCTGAAGCTCAAACGTGCTGCATAACACGAGAATGAACCTCATTGGTTCTTGCTGAAACTCAAACGTGCTGCATAACACGAGAATGAACCTCATTGGTTCTTGCTGAAGCTCAAACGTGCTGCATAACACGAGAATGAACCTCATTGGGGGGTGACCCATAATCCTGCCCGCTACTCTGACCAGGTTGAGAATCTGCGATTTAAGTTTGACACTCAAATTACCAAACCAACTGGTGATACCATACCTTAAAATAGACTCTATTGCTGCCCTATATAATATTAACATTATGTTTTTACTGACACCAAACAACCGATGTCTGCGTAAAAAGTGGAGGCGCTGGTGGATTCTAACGCCGACAGAGGCTGCCTGTGTCTGCCAGCTCAAGTCACTGTCAATGTGAATGCCTAAGTACTTGCATGAATTTTGCTGATTAATGTTATTGCCATGTATGGTCACAGGGCTTCGGTCACCAATTGATTTGGGATCAAAGAGCATTTCTACGGTCTTACAGGTGTTAATCTGTAGTTTATGATTGTCGCACCAGTCCACAAACCTGTCCACAGCATCTCTGTGAATGGATGAATGAAGTTCTTGCAGAAGCTCAAATGTGTTGCATAAGATGAGAATTAATCTCATTGGTACTTGCAGAACCTCAAACTACTGCTAATAGGAGAAAAAACCTCATTGGTTTTTGCAGAGGCTCAAATGTGCTGTGTAACATGAGAATGAACCTCATTGGTTCTGGTTGATGCTCAAACATGCGAGAATGAACCTCATTGGTTCTTGCTGAAACTCAAACGTGCTGCGTAACACAAGAATGAACCTCATTGGTTCTTGCTGAATCTCAAACGTGCTGCATAACATGAGAATGATTTGATTTCCATTACACGAGAGTAGATGTTAAAACTTCATGCTGATTTGTACTCGGCTTTCGCCAAGATAAGCAAAACTAAGACCTAGCTTTACAGTTAACTATGCTTCTCCATCCATTTACGCTTCTTTCCATATGGTGGTGTGACTCCCCTTCTGTCCGGCGTTAACGGCTGCAGTGTACTTGGCGCGTCAGCACACACGACGGCTGCAACTACAGTGTGGTCTCCCTAGTGGACCAGCACGACAACCGTCTGGATTGAGCCGAGTAGGGGACATCTCTAGGGTCTTCAAGTGGGCACCTTCCGTCCTCAGTGTTTCGTCGACTAGCCCACGACACCTCAAGAGGGCTCGACAGTGACTCTGGCGTCCCAGTGTCACCCCCCTCCGTCCCCCACTCAACTCAGCCCAGCTTACTGACCTCTACATCCCTCCTGCTGCTGAGACCTAACCACAATCTCACAATCTCTCCGCAACCCGACCATACGCGCCAACCCGTTTGACTAAGGCTGTCGAGCCCCACTGGTAAAGCAGTTTCAGTGGCAACGGTTCCGTATGGCATACCACCTACCGCAAAACACAATATCTGCCCAACCACCCGTCATTCACGCAATATACACAGGAACGTAATGACTGTAAATACTATACAACCTATACAAATAAACCAACAGACTCTTTAAGTTTTCAAGAATTCTACGAAACCGTAGCGTGGCGGCCTGTACACAGCCAGCTAGAATCTTTCCGTCTCAACCACAGCCAGTTGCTGCTCCTTTCTGCTGCTTCAGATAAGTTCTTTACTGTGCGACGCAACTCTTGGCCGCTGAATCCGACGTCTCTGAGGAACCGGGTTGTAGAGTGTGCCACAAAACCTCGACAACCTACTTCCACTGGATAAACCTGGACTCTCCATCCTCGCTGTTATGCTTCGGTGGCCAGATGAGCATACCGCAGTTTCTTCCTCTCATATGCCTCATCTACCGCATCCTCCCATGGCACTGTTAACTCTATCAGTTGAACAATGCGTGCTGATCCAGACCACAAAACAATATCTGGTTGTAGGTTAGTGGTGGCAATCTCAGGTGGAAAAATAAGCCGTTGATCAAGATCAGCCAGCAGCTTCCAGTTGTCCTGGGCGAGAATTGGTGTTAACACCTTTTCTTGGTGGTTGCTCGCCTCGTCATGTTTTGCTAGAACAGGCGGCAACTTATTGGTCATACTAGCTTGCCTTCCAATGCTAAAGCCAAACATCGCAATACTTGGTCATGGCGCCAAGTAAACCGACCTTGGCTAAGAGCCACCTTACATCCTGTCAAAATGTGCCTTAATGTGGCAGGTGATGAACACAAAGGACAAGAGGGATCCTCTCCTACCCAGAGGTTTGGGTTCTGCGGTGATGGGAGAACATCATATGTTGACCTAATAAGGAAACTGATCCTACTCTCTTCCATTGACCAAAGGTCTTGCCAGCCCATTTTTTGTTGTTCCACACTCTCCCATCTCATCCACTCTCCCTGCTTGGCCTGGGAAATGGCCTTTATCACCTCATCCTCTCCTCCTGCTTTCGCACCTCGTTGACTACCAGCTTCCTCCTTTGAGCTGGGCCTGCCTTGTGCCATTTAGGAGGAGCTAAACTGAGCCCAAAACCCCCTCTTCCATGCTGTACCTGTCCCACGATATCCCCAATTTGCAGGGCAGCCTTTGCCTCTACTACAGATTTCTTTGCTGACCACTTTCTACCAGTTTTTAACACAGGGGCTGTCTCCCTTAAACATTTGTCGCGTGACTCTACTAAGGTCATTTCCAGTCTGACCTTGGCACACTTAAACTCCTCGGTTAAAGCAGAGACTGGCAGCTGCAATATTCCTTTACTATAAAGTCCCACTCTGCTGATGCAGCGTCGAAATCCCAACCATTTCCTGATGTATGAACTTATCAATGCTTCCAGCTTATCCACTGTTGTCAAAGAAACGTTGTACACGGTCAGTGGCCACAGCAACCTCGGCAGTAGACCAAACTGAAAGCACCAGAGTTTTAGTTTGCCAGGTAGAGCACTGCTGTTTATGCTCTTCAACCCTTCCACTGCTTGTCGTCTAACTTCTCCCACCTGAACTGTGTCCTTTAGATCCCCATCGTACCATCTCCCAAGACTCTTCACTGGCTTCTCAGAAACTGTTGGTATTGCCTCACCATTAATGAAGAGAGTTTTATCTATTACCTTTCCTTTAACTATCGAGATGCTTCTTGATTTAGATGGCTTAAATTGCATTTGTGCCCATTCAATATTATCTGTTAACTTCCCCAATAACCGATTAGTGCAGGCATGGTTGTCATGTCATCCATGTATGCTCTGATTGGTGGTAGTTGCATGCCAGAAGCCAAGCGCTCTCCTCCTACTACCCATCTTGATGCCCTAATGATTACTTCCATTGCCATGGTAAAAGCCAGTGGAGAAATGATGCATCCTGGCATTATTCCAACCTCTAGGCATTGCCATGCAGTGCTGAATTTTGGAGTTGAGAAACTGAATTGCAAATCTCCAAAATAGGCTTTCACTAAATTTGTTATTGACATTGGTACTCTGAAAAAATCCAATCTGAAAAAATCAAATGCTGCCCAAAGAATCTCATGTGGCACTGAACCATATGCATTAGCCAAATCCAGGAATGTCACATCGAGCTCCTTCCTCTCCTTTTTAGCTGACTGAATTCGTTGCCAGATAACATTGATGTGTTCTAAGCATCCTGAGAACCCTGGAATGCCCGCTTTTTGAACTGAAGTGTCAATGAAGCCATTCTTTAATAGGTAGGTGGACAATCTCTGGGCAATAATGCTGACAAAAATCTTACCTTTAATGTTTAATAGTGAAATAGGACGAAACTGACTGATGCTTGTAGCATCTTTTTCTTTAGGTATAAAGATTCCACCTGCTCTGTGCCATGCTCTAGGTACAACCTGTTTTTCCCATGCCACTTTTATCAATTTCCACAGAATTCGCAGAACTCCTGAAGCACTCTTGTACAGTCTGTACGGAACTCCATTAGGCCCTGGAGATGATGAAGCCCTTGCCTTTCTCACAGCCTGCTCTACCTCTTTCCACTTAGGTGCACAGGTGCCATTTGGTATTCTGGTATTCAGAACTTAATTGGTTCTTTCAGAATCTCAAACCTGCTGCATAACATGAGAATTAACCTCATTGGTTCTTGCAGAATCTCAAACGTGCTGCGTAACATGAGAAAGAACCTCATTGGGTCTTGCTGAATCTCAAATGTGCTGGGTAACACGAGATTGAACCTTATTGGTTCTTGCTGAAGCTCAAACGTGCGAGAATGAACCTCAATGGTTGTTGAAGCTCGAATGTGCTGCGTAAAACCAGAATGAACCTCATTGGTTCTTGCTGAAACTCAAAAGTGCTGCGTAATACAAGAATGAACCTCATTGGTTCTTGCTGAATCTCAAACGTGCTGCGTAACATGAGAATAAATCTCATTGGTTCTTGATGAAACTCAAAAGTGCTGCGTAACACAAGAATGAACCTCATTGGTTCTTGCTGAATCTCAAACGTGCTGCGTAACACGAGAATAAACCTCATTGATTCTTGCTGAAACACAAACGTGCTGCATAACATGAGAATGAACCTCATTGGTTCTTGATGAAACTCAAAAGTGCTGCGTAACACAAGAATGAACCTCATTGGTTCTTGCTGATTCTCAAACGTGCTGTATAAAACCAGAATCAACCTCATTAGTTCTTGCTGAAACACAAACGTGCTGTGTAACACACGAGAAATTACCTTGTTGGTTCTTGCTGAAACTCAAACGTGCTGCATAACATGAGAATGAACCGCATTGGTTCTTGCAGAATCTCAAATGTGCTGCCTAACACGAGAATTAGGGCCGGCTCTGTAAATCTGGGGGCCCTAAGCAGAAAAATTGTGGGGCCCTGCCTTGCAGTAAATAATGGAGTATTGCCACCGCAAACCGGCAACTGTATACAATCTAACCCCAATCTAACAAATCTACAATAAAGTTGTTGCATATACTACAGGTGTTGCTGGAGTCTCGATCTTTAAACTTCTTTTCCCTTTTCCACACTTTAAAAAGAGGGAGAAGTTGGACCTGTAATTTCTTTGCTTCCTTCTAAAGTGATTTAAACATATTCTTCTTTTTTCTGCACCCGATGGATAGACTCGTTTAATTTTTGCGGTCAAATTTCCAAGTCCAGGGAAGACAACGATCTGACACGGTTGGTTGACTTAACGCAGTGGTTCTCAAACTTTTTCGGTCATTCCCCATTTTGGACAAGGGGGAATTTTCAAGCCCCACTGCCCCCATCGCCCCAACACTAATGCTAATGAAATACGCAACAAGCTTAAAATGTTCCAATTTATTGAAGTAATAAGTATACTATCTAAATACAAACTATCTACATCAAATAACATAACAGCAAGTTAAAAAATAAAGCAAATAAAAGTGCAGCTGTGTCATAACTTGCATGGAATTCAAAAATAGAGAAAATAAAAGTGTAGCTGTGTCAAAATGTGTATCAAGTTCAAAAATAGAAAAGAAATAAAAGTGCCACTTTGCAATCTGTTAAAAAAAGAAAAGAAGAGAAATCCATTTGGCAAGACAGGTCTATTAAAAAAAATAGACATAACATAGGCTACTGTGTTTGATATTGGATTAAAATGATGGGCAGTGTATGAGATATAAACTAATGATTAATTATTTTAATATTCCTTTAATCCGATCAGAGCATGTGAGCAGAGAGCGCATTTCTGAATATTCCTCGGCTCGCACATTCCGCTCAGGGTCGCGCGCTCAACCTTGCTGGTTCGAACTCCGACTAAAGTTTTTTTTCTAGTCGACTAGTAGTTGTTTATTTAAGCCATTAGTGGACAAATCGCCCCTTTATATTGATTTAATAACTTAAATAGGCTATACAGGATAACGAGTGTTATAAAGCTGCACTCAAGCGCACGAACCGGAAAAAGTAGGCTAATGATTATGAATGTGTAAAAAATAGAAAGGAGGCATTTAATTGTTTATTAATAAACTGGTGTTTTCTGCGTCGCTGCAAATATGAAGTTGACGATGCGGACTCGCCATGAACGAATAAAGAAATAAATGCATAAAAAGGAAAATTTCCTCCCGTTGGTGCGCCCCACCTGTCACGTCTCCTTTCCCCATCAATGGGGCGCGCCCCACACTTTGAGCGGCGACGCCGTCGACTACCATATGTAGTTAGGGGGCCCCCTAGTGGCGGCGGGGCCCTAAGCAGCCGCTTAGTTCGCTTATAGGGAGAGCCGGCTCTGATGAGAATGAACCTCATTGGTTCTTGCTGAAACTCAAACGTGCTGCGTAACACGAGAATGAACCTCATTGGTTCTTGCTGAAGCTCAAACGTGCTGCGTAACACGAGAATGAACCTCATTGGTACTTGCTGAAGCTCAAACCTGCTGTGTAACCCGTTTATAGGCCTGCTCTGATAGGAAGGGTCTGATCCTCCTAATGTTGTATAAAGCAAAACTGCAGGACCCGGCAGTTCTAGCAATGTGGTCTGTGAAATTCAATTGATCATCAATCACAACTCCGAGGTTCCTGGCTGACCTTGATGGAGCCATGGATGACGAACCTAGCTGAATGGAGAAGTTGTGGTGTTGTGTTGGGTTGGCCGGGACCACAAGCAGATGATCCAAAAGCTTCCTGTTCTCTTCTCTTCTCTACAAACCATTGTTGCATCACATCCAAACAGACTCTTGGGTTCTGCTGGCTGATTTCATTCTTCTGTCATTTATCCTTTTCAGCCATTGTGGGCAAATTCATCCACAGATTTCTCTTGCTTACAAATGCCAAGCCGAGAGATTTTCGTGTGGACAACTTGACCAGCACTGGATCCAGTCAGTCACTGTACGAGTCTCTGTCCGTGACGTTCCCTGCAAACAAATGAATCTTGCTTTGAAAGGCTAGCACTCTCAACTGTACGCACAATGGAGAGGAACACAAAGAGCAGTGTATTTGAGCCTTGCCGGTTCTTTCACACTGGCATTTGGTGCACTCAGACTCCTTTTGCTTGATATGAACATACGAGTGATGTGAAGTTCATTTGGATGATATGAACGCTGTTTTCTAATCCTAAAGTTTGCTTGGAAAGGTGTTTCTTTAGCATCCCCCTCATCTCTTATGGTACATGCACGGCATACAAACACAAGCGTTCTTTCTCTCTCCCTAAGCTTCTACTTATTAATCCAATGTAACAAAAAACATGAATAAAACAGCAAAGCTATAGGATCTTCTCTTCCTGAGTCATTACCCAGTTATAGTGGTGAACAGCTGCCGTTGATGACGCTCGTACCCCATGGTTTGGATCCAAAAGCACAATGTGAAGAGAGACGGGGAAGGATGAGGGGAGGAATCACACTCGGTGCAGACCAAGCAATGGAAGTGTGAAAGCACTGAAGTGTCCGGCGCACTGTTTGCGGGGAATTACGTCACATAATGTAATTGACTGTGCTGTTTGTTTCTCTCTCTCTCAGATATAGATGAGTGTGTGCGTGATCACAGGTGTCAGTTTGGCTGTCAGAATGTTGCGGGTGGTTTCCGCTGCAGCTGTCCACAGGGATACACTCAACACCAGCAGTGGAACCAGTGTGTAGGTTAGTACACACACACACACACAATTGTTGGGTTTCCAAGTTTTATGGGCACTTTCCATAGACATCATTTTTATACTGTACAAACCGTATATTCTATACCCTAACCCTAAACTTTGCAACCTAAGCTTACATGTAAATGGGCGTAAAACAGAGATTGTTGCATTTAAAGCAGACCGAACTGAAATCACCCTAAGTCAAGCCTTATGTGAAAAATCTGGGAGTCTTTCAGGGGTGTTTCCCGAAAGCATTGTTAGCCAACTATGATCATAAGCTATCAGCATTTCAACGAGTCTGTGTTTCCCGAAAACATCGTTCAGACCAACATTCGCAAACAGCATCGCACAGTTGTGTGTTTGAGTGACAGATCTCGAGCTGTGGTTAGAAGCAGTTTCTTGTTTGCATGACATGTGGACTCAATAAATCCTTATCTTGAGCCAAACAAGCAAGCTGACATTCAGTACAATCTATATCTTTTATTTAGAATACACACAAATGTCATTTACGTATTTTAGTTTGTCAAGAGATTTAAAGCACAGTTTGAAGAGTGCGCATGTGCGAACGAGCTCTAGTGCGTAAGAACGAGTCTATGATTGAATATGGAAATAAAGCAAAATAACTGAGAAAAATTATAAATAGTTCTCAGATGCCATGCCCGTAATTTATAGCAAAACATCTAGCATTAATTCGATCTCAACTTCATTTAATAAAACAGTTTATCACTCCACCACCTGTGTGACATCATTAACCAACGTGGTTGAACGCCCACTTTGCGACAGTGTGGTTTCAGGAAACAGTCGTGACTCACTAGTTGATTTCTTCAACGATGTTTCGTCCTATGGTAGTGAAGCAGAGAGTTACGGTGTTGTACGGAAAACTCACTCCGGGACAGTGCTTTAAAGCTTGATTTTACAACCAAATCAGAACTGACCCACATTTTTAAATCAAAGTTAAAAAAATTCTATTTGATCTTTTCTGCAATCTGTTACGACCCCGTCTAGGGTGAGGCCGCAACATAAACTGGAATTGGAAACCAAAGATCCTTTGTACACTTTTATTTACAGAACCACAAATGAAAGCACAATTTTAGGGGTGAGCGAAGGCCAAAACAACAAACAAACACCAACTAACTCCTGACAGAACATCTAAATTCCCTATCAAAAGAAAATAAATTAAATACAATAAATCTCCCTATCTAATGAAAAACAGGAGAAAACACTATTTACAAAAGAAATGGCACTCACCCCGTACAGCTTCCATATGTGAACACAATATTTACAATACTTTACAAAATATACAAAAAAGGAAATGAGATTGACAGCCACTTATCAACTCAAAGCCAAAATTCACACTGCACACAACAGGCAGATCAACAAGCAAGCTAGCAGTAACAACACACTGTAGCAAACACACAATAGCACATGTACAATTGAACAACAGGAAATCCCAATGCCCAATCCCAAATGTGCACTTTCGGTCTAGTGGACTTACAATGGCTGCCGCGTGCGCGTGTCCGTTAAGTCCGTGAGACCGCAGTGTGTCCCATTTGTCATTTTTAGATCTCAGAAGGGTGCTCGCGAGCGCCCCCTCTGCGGTCGATTTGCGACCTTGATGCGCACTTTTGCCGAGCCGGCGCTGATGCGGACTCCACAGCAGACTTCTTCCCGACATTCAAAGCGGCGTTACGTCGCGAAAGTGCGGACTCAGAGGAAGACCGCGAGTGCTTAGGGTTCCATTTGGGACAGGGCCCAAGTTGAGCAGAGCTCCCTCTTCTTCTTCTTCTTCTTCTTTTTCTTCTTCTTTGGGGTTTTATGGCGGTTGGCATCCAAAGTGTTGCATTACCGCCACCTACTGAATTAAATAGTTTTCCCAGTGCAGTATATTTACAGTAACCACCCTAAAGTTCACTGCCCGTTCTATATGTCATACTCAATGGTCTGAGATGATATAAATTCTTTCCTCAGTGTATTATCTAGTTCTTCTCCTGATATGTCCATAATGTCCAAGAATCTTCTCGCCGCATCCAACACCATCTTGATCCTCTCTGATTTCCCTTTAATTTCCACAGCACAATTAACCACCATAGCAATAAATCCTAGAAATCGCTTCTTGTCCATACCAATAATGTTATTCTGATCGTCTCTCTTCTTTTCCGGCTCCTGTTCTGTTTGCACTACTGCTCGTTCCTTTCTTTCCATTCTCTTGGTAGCTTCTGCGTATGTTAGCCCTTCTTCTGCTCTGATTTGACTCACTTTTACCTGTTTAATTTTTTCAGGACATTGCGTTGACCCCGCATGGTGATTTCCCGAACAGTGAATGCATTTTACTTGTTCCTCTTCACACTCCCCTTTTTCACAAGTATTTTCCCCACATCTCCCACATCTCCTGACTCCTCTACACACTGCAGCCACATGTCCATACTCCTGACAGCAAAAACACCTTAATGGAGCTCTTTCATAAGACCTCACCCTGTAGCATATATAGTCTAAGTATATCCTCTCAGGCAAATCTCCCACAAAAGTCAGACACACAGAAGTACTTTGTTCCCTTTCTCCTTGACGGAATCTTGTCAGTCTTCTGGCCTCACAAACTCCTTCAATGGCCCGAAACTCCTCGTCTTCCACTGACAGCGGTACGCCACTTACTACTCCTTTCTTTTTGTATTCTGTCCCGAGCGGGAAGCATTTCACAACTCTGTAATCTTTATACAACTTAATCTTTAGAGCTTGTTCTCTCTGACGCCTTGACACGCATTCAATAATAATCATCCCACTCCCGTTATTTTAATGGACCGAACATCTCCGAGTTTCTTTCCAACGAATCTTCCAACCTCGTGCGAATCCTTGAAGATCCCGTCCCTTCTTGTAACTGCTATCATACCTACTTGATATCTCTCAACAGTTCTTCCTGTCTGGCTTCCGTCACTTGAAACACTGTTCTTTTCCCTTTTCCTGTTCTCAACTCCTCTTGTGTCTTCTTCAATTCCCTCGCTCTCGTCTGACTCCATTTTTTCTCCTAGCTACATGTATCCCGTTGGTTTTTACCGCCACCTATGGTACTTCTTCTTCCGAGCTCTCTCTTCAGGCACTCCAGATCATTTTATTGCCCCTTTGGCCCCATTAGCACCAATCACATCTGGAGATCACTTTGTTCTCATCTAATCCTGTGAAAGAAAGGGCAGGACAAAAGAGAGAGAGAGAGAAAGAGAGAGAAACAAAAACAAAATCTGTGATGCTTTACTGTTCTTCTGAACTGCAGATGACAATGAGTGCTTGAACCCGGGCAACTGTGGCTCAGCTTCCTGTTTCAACACGCTGGGCAGCTTTAAGTGTGGCTGTCCATCCGGCTTCACCTTTGAGCCGGTGTCCACGAGCTGTGAAGACGTGGACGAGTGTGTGTCCTCCATGAGCCCCTGCAGATACGCCTGCTCGAACACACAGGGGGGGTTCATGTGCGGATGTCCCGCGGGATATTACAGAGCGGGACAGGGGTGAGTCTGCACCAAATACACTTACACTTCAGCATATTAGCACTCAAACTACAGGCATGTGGAATATTTACATAGCAAGACAGGTTATAGTTGAATAGTGGATAGTGGAGAAGTAATAGGGATTTCATTATTATATTATAAATGATTAAACTGGGTTTTTTTATAGCTATTTTTGGGCACATCTAATGAAACCTGCTCTACCTGCTCGTGTTTTTATTATACTTCTCTTTATTTCGTGTTTTTTACTGATTGATTATTATACTATTTTGTGTAATACAATTAAAAATACTATATTACAGTAATGAGAATCATCATTGATGATTATGGGACTTACAAAAATGTTCAGATGGATTACAAGAACTAGGTTTTTTTATTACAGTAATGAAACATAAGAAAGAAAATTTTGTCATGAAAATAAAACATTTAAACGGTGCTTGATCCTTTAGTTTCTTACCATGCAAACAGTGGGAAAGCGGCCTTTCTCTTTAGTTTTCAAATCTGGCATTGTATATTACGAATATTGTTGGCTCTTTGAGAAATGGCTGATGTTCCTCTTTTTTTAAGTTGCATTGGACAAAAGTGTCTGCTAAATGCGAATGACATGAGTAGAAACACATGTAGCCAGCATTCTGTGGGAGTTATTGGTCTTATAGTTGGATCTTTCTCATCAGTGAGCTTGAACGAGTGTGTTCCTGCAGGCACTGTGTTTCTGCTGCTGGTTTTGGAGGTGGTGAACTTGGACCAGAAGAAGAAAACGCTCTTTCTCCTGAAACCTGCTCTGGCTGCAAAACCAATGGACACCAGAAGAAAAGTGTCAGGAGAAGACACACTTCAGACTTCACACAGGTAAGAAAAGAGAAAAACAATCCAGAGCAATTTCTTAAAGGGGTTCATTCTCCCAAAAATGACAATTCTGTCAGTAATTACTCTCCCTCATGTCGTTCCAAACCCGTAAGACTTTCGTTCATCATCAGAACACAAAATGAAGATGTTTTTGATGAAATCTGAGAGCCTTTTGTCCCTACATTTGACACAAATACCACTTTCAAGCCCTCAGAAAGACAGTAAAGACATCATTAAAGTAATCCATGTGACTCCAATCTCCAATGCACATCAACACAACACGCATGCGTCACGGTGCTCTCGTCAATGCACGCAGGAGATTCATTTTTTGTAAATCAAGTGGTAAATTATGTTTTTTGTGCAAACAAGGCACTCGGGTCACTTCATAAACTGAGGTTAACCCACTGGAGTCACATGGATTACTTTAATGTATTTACCACTTTCAAGCCCCAGAAAGGTAGTAGTTGCGTAGCTGTCAATAGAGGGACAGAAAGCTCTCGGATTTCATCAAAAAGATCTTCGTTTGTGTTCTGAGGATGAACGAAAGTCTTACGGGGTTGAACAACATGAGGGGAGTATTTACTGACAGAAATCTTGCTTTTGAGAGAACTAACCCTTGAAAACAGTGTCGTGTAAACAGCCCCTAACAGTCCAACACATTTTTAAACAAAAACCGTAAAACGTTTTATGCGTTTTGGTCGTTCATTTACACGACAACAGTGTTTTGGGAGCCTGAAAACGCAAACCTTTGAAACCAGGATTCAGAGTGTAAGTTTTTGAAAACGGTTCAACCACAAAAACAGGAATCCCTGAAGACGATGACATCATGCACATGTGTATTACGTGTTCAGTCAGCGCCATCTACTGGCCTGGCAGCAGAATACAGCGTTTTCAGTCGTTTTCACGGATCCGTGTGAATGGGGATCGTTTTGACAATGGTGTCGTCTGTATGCGAAAAACTTCTCAGTTTTAAGCATATCGTTGACGTGTAAATGTACCCGGAGTCTCATTCCTCTTCTAAACTAATGCTGCACGTGGATGTCCGTTCACTGAACCTCACGACTGTAATATAATATCCTGCTGTCCCTACAGGAAGCAGTTAGTCTGGCCAGCGTGGACGTGGATCAGCCGCTGAAGTTACTTCTCAAGCGTTCACAACTCAAGCCCAGAGCAGCCGTCCTGGAGCTGGTGCCTGCGGTCCGATCCCTCGTCCAGCGCCAGACCTACTCCATCACAGCCGGAAACCAGGACGGGCTCTTCCAGATCAGACAGCGGGCGGGGGTCAGTTACCTGCACCGCACACACAGGACCTCCTCAAGGACACACTACACCCTGCAGATCAGAGGTTCTGAAGACCCCGAGCGACCCGCTCCAGCCCTGCTCATCACAGTCCACATCACAGTCCAGTAGAGGAGCGGTTCTGATGACCCCGATGACCCCGAGCGACCCGCTCCAGCCCTGCTCATCACACTCCACATCACAGTCCAGTAGAGGAGCGGTTCTGATGACCCCGATGACCCCGAGCGACCCGCTCCAGCCCTGCTCATCACACTCCACATCACAGTCCTGTAGAGGAGCGGTTCTGAAGACCCCGAGCGACCCGCTCCAGCCCTGCTCATCACACTCCACATCACAGTCCAGTAGAGGAGCGGTTCTGATGACCCCGATGACCCCGAGCAACCCGCTCCAGCCCTGCTCATCACACTCCACATCACAGTCCTGTAGAGGAGCGGTTCTGAAGACCCCGAGCGACCCGCTCCAGCCCTGCTCATCACACTCCACATCACAGTCCAGTAGAGGAGCGGTTCTGATGACCCCGATGACCCGCTCCAGCCCTGCTCATCACACTCCACATCACAGTCCAGTAGAGGAGCGGTTCTGATGACCCCGAGCGATGCTCCAGCCCTGCTCATCACAGTCCACATCACAGTCCAGTAGAGGAGCGGTTCTGATGACCCCGAGCGACCCGCTCCAGCCCTGCTCATCACAGTCCACATCACAGTCCAGTAGAGGAGCGGTTCTGATGACCCCGATGACCCCGAGCAACCCGCTCCAGCCCGGCTCATCACACTCCACATCACAGTCCTGTAGAGGAGCGGTTCTGAAGACCCCGAGCGACCCGCTCCAGCCCTGCTCATCACACTCCACATCACAGTCCTGTAGAGGAGCGGTTCTGATGACCCCGATGACCCCGAGCGACCCGCTCCAGCCCTGCTCATCACACTCCACATCACAGTCCTGTAGAGGAGCGGTTCTGATGACCCCGATGACCCCGAGCGACCCGCTCCAGCCCTGCTCATCACAGTCCACATCACAGTCCAGTAGAGGAGCGGTTCTGATGACCCCGATGACCCCGAGCGACCCGCTCCAGCCCTGCTCATCACAGTCCACATCACAGTCCAGTAGAGGAGCGGTTCTGATGACCCCGAGCAACCCGCTCCAGCCCTGCTCATCACACTCCACATCACAGTCCAGTAGAGGAGCGGTTCTGATGACCCCGATGACCCGCTCCAGCCCTGCTCATCACACTCCACATCACAGTCCAGTAGAGGAGCGGTTCTGATGACCCGCTCCAGCCCTGCTCATCACACTCCACATCACAGTCCAGTAGAGGAGCGGTTCTGATGACCCGCTCCAGCCCTGCTCATCACACTCCACATCACAGTCCAGTAGAGGAGCGGTTCTGATGACCCCGAGCGACCCGCTCCAGCCCTGCTCATCACAGTCCACATCACAGTCCAGTAGAGGAGCGGTTCTGATGACCCCGAGCGACCCGCTCCAGCCCTGCTCATCACACTCCACATCACAGTCCAGTAGAGGAGCGGTTCTGAAGACCCCGAGCGACCCGCTCCAGCCCTGCTCATCACACTCCACATCACAGTCCAGTAGAGGAGCGGTTCTGATGACCCCGATGACCCCGAGCAACCCGCTCCAGCCCTGCTCATCACAGTCCACATCACAGTCCAGTAGAGGAGCGGTTCTGATGACCCCGATGACCCCGAGCAACCCGCTCCAGCCCTGCTCATCACACTCCACATCACAGTCCTGTAGAGGAGCGGTTCTGAAGACCCCGAGCGACCCGCTCCAGCCCTGCTCATCACACTCCACATCACAGTCCTGTAGAGGAGCGGTTCTGAAGACCCCGAGCGACCCGCTCCAGCCCTGCTCATCACACTCCACATCACAGTCCAGTAGAGGAGCGGTTCTGATGACCCCGATGACCCCGAGCAACCCGCTCCAGCCCTGCTCATCACAGTCCACATCACAGTCCAGTAGAGGAGCGGTTCTGATGACCCCGATGACCCCGAGCGACCCGCTCCAGCCCTGCTCATCACAGTCCACATCACAGTCCAGTAGAGGAGCGGTTCTGATGACCCCGATGACCCCGAGCGACCCGCTCCAGCCCTGCTCATCACAGTCCACATCACAGTCCAGTAGAGGAGCGGTTCTGATGACCCCGATGACCCCGAGCGACCCGCTCCAGTAGAGAAGCACGTCTGAGCAGAAGGTCACTGCTCTCCAACATGCTCACGGTGATTGTGTTTGAGTCTTGAAGTATTCACACACAGCTGAAACACACAGCTGAATTGTTTTTATATGGAGCTAATCATATTTTCTTTCCCTAAACCCTCACAGAATGTTTTTATTTTTGATTAAATAAAACGTTTTTTTTTAAGCCTTTCGAAATTTCCAACCTGAGATGCTTTGAGGAAAATTCTGTGTACAATTGTGATGTAAACATTTTATGTGAGCATGTATACCAGCACACATGCAGTCTTGTGCAGCTTGACAGGGCCTAGTTGGGGACATCTTTTCATTTTTAAAATGTAAATGCAGAAAATCCCACTATATTTATGGATGAAGTTTGCAGTGTTTGGAGGCGGGGATAAGATGGAAAGCCCGTTTTGAACTGGAACTCTGTCCCCCAAATCTCCCCAATTACCTGCATTTCCAGCCCTGATTCTCTCTCTCTCTCGTAAAACAGTTCATTCTTCTGACTGGAGATCATTGTAACATGTTTTGTTTAACTCTAAATAATAGCATAAAGCAGATTACACTAAATTCTACTGGGTGTAGATTGTCCAAACAGTAAATAAACCTGTTAAACTGAATGTCTTGCCTCATTAACTCCTAAAGCACCTGTCTGTCTGTCTGTGGGTACAAGTATCACTGCCACCATTAAACGATGCTTATAAAAGACAGCGTTTCAGTTAACCGAGTGCCGTGAGATCGTTCTGAGAGCCTCAGCTGAATCACAAATATGAATATGGTGTCCGTGTGCTGGTCAGACAAACATTGCTCAGTGTTGAACACAAGGTACAGGCCGATAACAAGGTCGTCTCCGAGGTCGAGAAAGATCATTTCAGACCCAGTGGTGAAAGAGGAGCATCTGCATTTAGAGGCACCAACAACAACAGAACAACAACTGATTATCATTTGTTTATTTTTATATATTGCAATAAAGATGTACAAAGCATCGATACCCTTAACCGTTAAAATGTTAGAAAAAAGCATGTGACAAATAACAGTACAGTATATCAAAACATTACTGTTCCAGCACAATCACTCAGAACCACCCTCATGTTTAGCAGGAAACTCAAACCATCGGTCAAGAGCATTTCTTTAAAAGGCATATAAAAGATAGAAATGTGACCAAACATTGAAAAAGAAAAGATTGTGCAGACTAAACCCAAACTAAAAAAACATCTTAAAAACTACTGTAACATAAAAGAAACAAAAAACAACCTGTAATAAATAATTTCACCACATTAATTTGCCATTACTCCACTCCTTTGATTAATCTGGTTAGGCTAAAAGATATTTACAAGTTAGTAAGGAAGTATAGTGTGAACTAGAGCTGGAACTCGTTGACCTTGATGAGAAAACGTGAGACAGACTTTGGCAACTCATTCTGCAGGACGAGAGATGCTGTGCCACGTCTCCAGAGAACCAGCCGGCCGCTGAGGCACCGTAGAGCACCTCGTGGAGTGGACCCTACAGCTGTAGTGCACTTCTACACCGCTGAGAAACACACTCCCGCTTTCTTCTCTAGATCTACATATAATACACAAGTGTCATATTCGTGTCTGTGTCTGTACAGCACTCGTTCACCCGAACAAACAACAGATTTAACAGGTGAGATTGTACCATCAGCTTCACTAACTTCACCCACTTCAAATGAAAACGCATGCGGTGCGCACACACATTTAACTTTTAAATATTCGTTTATATTGAGAACTATAAATGTGAGTATATTCGTCACATGGATTATTTCTCAGGTAAATGGCAGGGCTGTGAATCGCATGAATATAACACACACAGAACTGCGCCTGCAAACTATTAGTGTTGGGAACCAGATTCAAAGTGTGACCAAACCAATGACGCTAAACTGACCAACGCTTCGGTTACTGACCGCTTTAAACTAAGGCATGATCGAACATCTGGTCACATCCCAGCATTCAATCACAAGAACCAACCGGACGAACAGATAACATTCAGAACAGGACAGACTGAATCCTGGACGTCATTAAAGATGAACCCGGCTCTCAATCCTGAGTTTAGATTACAATATTCAACGAGTCGCACGCAGTCCATCTGCATAGAGGAACGAATCAGCTTCATTCAGCGCAGGAAACATGCTGTCCGTGAGAGAGGAAGATGGTGCTTTAGCACGGTACTAACGTCCAATTCCAGACGGCTTTAGAAAACTAGGAAAGTGGAAAGATGGAGAGCTTTCCTAGACGGCCAGGATCACATTCTCGTTCAGGCGTTAGTCCATCCGTCATCTCTAATCTACAGCTGGCCAGTGTGGCTGAAGACGACGAGTAAAAACTACAATCCTCACTTCATCTGTTAAGGCAAAGGTCTTCTGTGACTCCAGGGCTTTGCTTCTTTTGGTTCATTGTTAGTTTGAAAGGATCCGATTCCTTCAGACAGCCTCTCTTCGTCAAACCAAAAACTGTTCAACTGTACACAAGGGAAAACTAATATAGTTTTGTTAAAGTTCGGACTTTTTACATTAGACTACGTGAAAGATGATTGTAAATCACCCGTAGTTCAGGTCTATCAGTGGAGAACATGGAGGAGCGCTGCGCCAACGCCACAACTCATTCAATGCTTAAAGGAAGACGTAAACTTTGAAGAGAAAAACAACAGGAGAATAAAACGGACGACAAAAAAAAGCCAGAAAGTATTTTCTAATGCTGCGCAGTGGAGACCTCAGTCCACTCGTGTCCAAGCGTGATCAAATCAAGGAAGATTTACATTTAAAACCCAATAAACAGCCTAAAATCTAGATCATAAATCACCATCGGGGAAAAATGTAAGAATGTAATATGATCGCACAGGAAGGCACATCCACAAGGCTAGAAAAGTGTTGCACAGAACCGTGTTTTTCTTCAAAGGGAGAAAATAAGAAATCAGGTGATTATTGCTTCATCAAGAGCAAATTAAAAAGTACGAAAGAGGAAAAATAAATCCACAACTCAAAAAGTTGCGACAGTCATAGTAATGATAACAATGATAACAACAATCAGTGTAACAACGTGTGCTCAGAAACGGTGAGCTGAAGACAGTGGACGCCCTGGTGTCCGCTTCGGTGAGGAGCGTCTGTCGTCATCATCATCATCATCAGGTGTGTGTGTGTGTGTGTGTGTGTGTGTGTGTGTGTGTGTGTGTGTGTGTGTGTGTGTGTGAGAGCTCTCCTGTGTGCGTAGAGGAGAGAGCCGTCCTGGTGTCCGCTTCGGTGAGGAGCGTCTGTCGTCATCATCATCAGGTGTGTGTGTGTGTGTGTGTGTGTGTGTGTGTGTGTGTGTGTGTGTGTGTGTGTGTGTGTGTGTGTGTGTGTGTGTGTGTGTGTGTGTGTGTGTGTGTGTGAGAGCTCTCCTGTGTGCGTAGAGGAGAGAGCCGTCCTGGTGTCCACTTCGGTGAGGAGCGTCTGTCGTCATCATCATCATCAGGTGTTGTGTTGTGTTGTGTTGTGTTGTGTTGTGTTGTGTTGTGTTGTGTTGTGTTGTGTTGTGTTGTGTTGTGTTGTGTTGTGTTGTGTTGTGTTGTGTTGTGTTGTGTTGTGTTGTGTTGTGTTGTGTTGTGTTGTGTGTGTGAGAGCTCTCCTGTGTGCGTAGAGGAGAGAGCAGTCCTGGTGTCCGCTTCGGTGAGGAGCATCTGTCGTCATCATCATCATCATCGTGTGTGTGTGTGTGTGTGTGTGTGTGTGTGTGAGAGCTCTCCTGTGGGCGTAGAGGAGAGAGCAGTCCTGGTGTCCGCTTCGGTGAGGAGCGTCTGTCGTCGTCATCATCATCATCAGATGTGTGTGTGTGTGTGTGTGTGTGTGTGTGTGTGTGTGTGTGTGTGTGTGTGTGTGTGTGTGTGTGTGAGAGCTCTCCTGTGGGCGTAGAGGAGAGAGCAGTCCTGGTGTCCGCTTCGGTGAGGAGCGTCTGTCGTCATCATCATCAGATGTTCTGTACTAGTGTGTGTGTGTGTGTGTGTGTGTGTGAGCGCTCTACGAGTAGAAGGTGAGGACGCTCTGGTGGTTCCCACGCACTAACAGGATGGGCGGCAGGTCTTTAGAGAGTGTGTCCAGCCAGGCCATATACAGAGCGCTGGACACGGCTCCTTTCCTGGCCAGCGGCATGCTCCTGTCACACACACACACACACACACACACGTTAGTGCTGCTGGACAATAACGAAAGGAACTCTCTCATTGTCATGATCATGTTTTTTGAGAGAGACTGGTCATTCGAGAGGCTTCGTGTCCTCCTGCTGTTTTGGAGACATTACAGTATGCGACTCTGGAAAACAGATTCCAGCACTTGAGGACTTTAAGCACTACTCTTTTGGTTTTCAAGGATCACAATCAGAGATCACACTTATCAAACAATATCTTTAGGATTTTTTAAACTCAAATTACAGATATAAGGTAACCAGAATACAACTTACAACGCATTTAATAATATATATATTAAATACAAAGTTTATAATGGCTATTATTGTTCTATAAATAATATTTAAATTATAAAGTTGGTGTACTTCGTATGGAGAAAAGGTCTGATGGGGTTTATCAGACGGGCTGCAGTGTTCATTTAGCATGAAAAGATTGTATTTGTGTTGTTGTTGTTTTTTAAAAATGAATTTTCATATATATTGTATTTAAATAAGTCAGCCATATTTATGAAGAGGTACTTGAAAAGTGGTTGTTTTCAAGGGTTTTCCAGGACTTAAATTTCAAAAAGTCATATTCAAGCAGCGTGAAGCTATGACTACTTCTTCAAGTAGTTAGAGTTTGTATTTATCCTCATTTATATAGCGCTTTTAACAATATAGATTGTTTCAAAGCAGCTTTACAGTGATAATAGGAGATTACAGTAAAAGAGATTGTTTTGGCATTACAGCAGATCGAGAATAAAGTTATTGTCCAGCTAAAGTTAGTTTTGATTGATTCACTTCTGTTGTAAAGATCATTAGTTATTAACTTAGGGGCCGCTAACACGACACAAGGTGCTTAACGTTGAATCAGTTTAGTTACGGTTCTTCAACCTGATTGGCCGAGCACACGCACTGATATCCCTCCGCTCAGGTTAGATCACTCCGCCAGTATAAGGTCAGGCTTGTAACTTACATGACTATGAGGTTGGCTGTGCTGGAGTGCTCCTTCAACAGCTCGTTCAGCCGGATCTGACGGTTACTCTGAGGAAACAAATCATTTCACAGGAAGACTGAAGTTACTGTATCTGTTAACAGCCATGAAAACACACACTTCAAACAAGACTTCCAAGGAAACAAATGCACACCATCATTTCACTCCACTATTCTATTTAACTCACTTTAGCAGGAAAAACCGACATTTGAGACACACAGCACCCATACACCCACTCCCTGATCTCAGATGGGTCGAGGACCAAGGGAAGCACACACACACAGTGCTCAGCGTAAGTGAACACACACATGCTAAAGTGGACTAAAAAGAGGAATAAAAAATATATATATATATCTTTTGGAAATTGATCTTAATGCCTTAATTATAAAAAAATGAGGAAAAATCCAACCTTTACGGACACCAATTTTCTTTGTGAATGAATAATGTATCGTAAATAAATAAATGTTCTTCTAATGCAGGGGTCATTCGTCAGGACACCCCTGTGTTACATCCCCATAGAGGGGCAGATTTAGATGTTTAAAGGCCAGTTTCATGACCCAGGACACTGTGCATCCTTCCTGATAGAGTTCCCTCGGCCTCTGGAGTTAAAATATCCCCACATCACCGAGTCGGCATGGGTTTATGTCAGTTAACTTAATAGCTGGCTTGATTTGCATTGAGAGATGATCTTATGGCAGTTCCCCATGCCGATCTCTAGGTATGGTGAAGGGTGTGTGATATTATAATTCTATTTTAATTCCAACGGCCAAGGGAACTTTTAGTCAACTTTAGCAGGGGTGTATTCACTTAGACGAGACATTCCCAGTCTCAGGTTTTAGAGATAGGATACATGCTTAGCATATCATCATTCATCCATCACTGGTGGGGAACCACAGGGCTCCATGTCAGGTCCTTTTTCTAAAACATCTCAAACCAAAGACCCCACTTTTTTTGTGATGAGTATTCGTCACTGAGTCCCATTTATATAGGATTATTCGCACCAGTAACTTAGTGCTCATTTATGTCAAACTAGGTTAAGCTGTAAGTTACAACTTACACACTACTAAATATCTTTGAATTGCACCATTAGACTTAGATGAAGCGCAACTCTACGTATAAACTATAAACTAAATATTTTGGGAATCCTCCGATCAGGAGTAACGGTTGGACTGGAACAGCAGACTGGCTGAACTGCACTAGTAAGCTCTTATTTTACCCGACAGTCCTTTAGACACATATGATGATGCTGACATTTACACTCACTAATATGTTAAGAGAGACAACATTTATGGGCAGAGGTGTACAGTCCAGGGGTCAGGAAGCAAACGTTTCTTCCAGCCTGACCTCGGCTGGTTTCACTCATTAGCGCTCTCTCCTGGCTGGAGAACTGATATTAGCAGATCCAGGCGACTGGAACACAACACTGAGGAGGACTGACACTTCCTGAACCTGGCCTTCACACCTCTGCTATGGAGTAGATCAGCTGTGTGTATCTGTCCCGCTGCTCTGTGTTGTGCATGTCAGATTAAATCAGTCAATCAAAAAATGTCATTTCTTATGTTTATTTTGTATCGGTACTTATTTCTTTATCCTTATTTGTTTCAAACAAAGTTTCTGAATGTCATTTACATACTTAATCATGAATAACATAAGTGTTTTTATATCGCATTTAAATGGAAACTTCTTTTGCCTCTCGTAACTAACAGTAAAAAGAAGTTGAAATGCTGTGAATTTCAGTTGATCCTTCATTCCAACAACTTCTGCTCACTTATTTGAAGGCTGCTAGTGATCACTGAGTAAAGTCTTTTGAAAACCCATTTGTAATCTTGTGCTTTAAACGTCTTGTGAATGTTTATTTTAATTTTGGTGTTTGACCTAGGCAATTCTGTACAGCACTTTGGTCAACCAAGGTTGTTTTAAATATGCTTTATATATAAATTAAACTTGAAACTTTACAGAGAGCTTACCAGGGGCGGCACTAGGGCTGAGCCTCAGCCCCGAAAGTTTAGTAAAGCCCAAATATTTAGTTACCTTGTGTTTCTCATAGAGCAAAACAATTAATGTGAAAAACAAATGTGAATACGATTACAGCTGCCACGATTACATATAAATAAAACTGTAACATGCACTTTTTATGATTATTTTTCCCTTTGCATTAAAGGTACTTACAACATGCTTTTGCAGCGGTGAGCATTGTAGCCAATCACAGACATGTCTGCTGAACGCATCGGCCAATCAGAGGCGTGCAAGTGAGTCACTGTGCTGAAGATGTGTTTTGCGCGGGCTCACAGTTACACTTTCACAAACCTGTCATTATTATTGGCAATAACCTTAAGATGCAAATAAGAAATTCACTGCTATGTATTTGATATTCTTGATGCCGCTTGATGCATTTACGCAGCGCTCTGATGACTATAAGTTCAGCGGTCTAGCTCATCAATGTCAGAGTGATTAAAGAGGCGGGGCTTCCGTTCACAGAGGGGTGTTAACAGTGAACGAATGCCTGGGAAAATGTAAGTAGATGAACATTTAATATTTGACAACTGTTTTACAATAGAAATGTTCAACTACCGACAGTATCTGGTGATGCAAATTACTCAACCTTTTTTTTTTTAATATTAAATTTTTCCTTTTTTAATTGAAAATATGCTATAATTTCCTTGATTCATGTAGAGAGAATGTATCCATACTTAAAAACAAAATGTTTTTTTGCAAATAGTTTAAATTTTCACTAATACAATAAGCCTTTTTTCTTTATTCCCTTAAATCGCTTTTATAATGAATGAATTCCTTTAGCCAAACTAAAATAGAGGATATTCGGGGCTTTAAATAAAAATACCCAGACTTAGAACCGGCCCTGGAGCTTACGACTAGCTCGTTCTGCCTTAAGAACAAATGGTGAGTTGTTTTTTGTAAAGCCCAGAATATCCTCTATTTTATTTAGGGTTTACTGGTTTCCTCTAGTGTGAACTTTACGTTCCAATTTAAGTAAGAACTTCCGAACGGCTGGTGCAAGTCAACCCTGGTTAAGATTTAACACTCATTTCAAAGGGTTTACATCAGTGAACTTTGTTCAGAATCTCCCTCCTCTAATGTCTTCAAATAACCATTTCTGGTAAGTGTTCACGAGTACGTTTCGGCAAAAATGATCCAAGAGTAGCATTTCCTAACAACACCAAGTGCCTCACCAGGTGTTCCCTGACTTTTCACGGCATGTTTTAATAAAAAAAATAAAAATAAAATAAAAATCAACACTAACATTAAAAGTGTCAGAAGCATGACACAGAACAGTGCCCTAACAAACGTGTGTGAGGACCGGGTGATGTGGTTTCAGTCGGCAGAAGCGGATTAACACACAAGAACCAACCAGCTTTCTTCTGCCATATGCGATTCACTCTGTGATCGTGATCATATCGCTCCAAAAGACTTTAAGACACTTATACCTTTTTAGATCTTTTAAGTTTTGGTTACCAGGACTTTCAATGAGGGACAGAAACCTCTCCGGTTAAATTTCAAAACCTTGTTAATGGGTTCAGAGCAAAGTCTGCGGGTTCAGAGCAAAGTCTGCGGGTTCAGAGCAAAGTCTGCGGGTTCAGAGCAAAGTCTGCGGGTTCAGAGCAAAGTCTGCGGGTTCAGAGCAAAGTCTGCGGGTTCAGAGCAAAGTCTGCGGGTTCAGAGCAAAGTCTGCGGGTTCAGAGCAAAGTCTGCGGGTTCAGAGCGAAGTCTGCTGGTTCAGAGCAAAGTCTGCGGGTTCAGAGCAAAGTCTGCGGGTTCAGAGCAAAGTCTGCGGGTTCAGAGCGAAGTCTGCGGGTTCAGAGCAAAGTCTGCGGGTTCAGAGCAAAGTCTGCGGGTTTAGAGCAAAGTCTGCGGGTTCAGAGCGAAGTCTGCGGGTTCAGAGCGAAGTCTGCGGGTTCAGAGCAAAGTCTGCGGGTTCAGAGCGAAGTCTGCGGGTTCAGAGCAAAGTCTGCGGGTTCAGAGCGAAGTCTGCGGGTTCAGAGCGAAGTCTGCGGGTTTAGAGCAAAGTCTGCGGGTTCAGAGCAAAGTCTGCGGGTTTAGAGCAAAGTCTGCGGGTTCAGAGCAAAGTCTGCGGGTTCAGAGCAAAGTCTGCGGGTTCAGAGCGAAGTCTGCGGGTTCAGAGCAAAGTCTGCGGGTTCAGAGCAAAGTCTGCGGGTTCAGAGCGAAGTCTGCGGGTTCAGAGCAAAGTCTGCGGGTTCAGAGCAAAGTCTGCGGGTTCAGAGCAAAGTCTGCGGGTTCAGAGCAAAGTCTGCGGGTTCAGAGCAAAGTCTGCGGGTTCAGAGCGAAGTCTGCGGGTTCAGAGCAAAGTCTGCGGGTTCAGAGCAAAGTCTGCGGGTTTAGAGCAAAGTCTGCGGGTTCAGAGCGAAGTCTGCGGGTTCAGAGCGAAGTCTGCGGGTTTAGAGCGAAGTCTGCGGGTTCAGAGCGAAGTCTGCGGGTTCAGAGCAAAGTCTGCGGGTTTAGAGCAAAGTCTGCGGGTTCAGAGCAAAGTCTGCGGGTTCAGAGCAAAGTCTGCGGGTTCAGAGCAAAGTCTGCGGGTTCAGAGCAAAGTCTGCGGGTTCAGAGCAAAGTCTGCGGGTTCAGAGCAAAGTCTGCGGGTTCAGAGCAAAGTCTGCGGGTTCAGAGCGAAGTCTGCGGGTTCAGAGCAAAGTCTGCGGGTTCAGAGCGAAGTCTGCGGGTTCAGAGCAAAGTCTGCGGGTTCAGAGCGAAGTCTGCGGGTTCAGAGCGAAGTCTGCGGGTTCAGAGCGAAGTCTGCGGGTTCAGAGCGAAGTCTGCGGGTTCAGAGCGAAGTCTGCGGGTTCAGTCTGCGGGTTTAGAGCGACACGAGGGTGTAAATAACAGAATTTTCATGTTTAACCCTTTAAGGCCCGTTCACACCAGAATGCCGACTCATGATAGCGTCCATATCAGTGGGTGATAACTGATGGTTTATAATAAACAGGAGGATATGTCATCTTGTGATTTTCTATAGAATGATTATTAAAACATAATAGTTATCGTTATAGTTATTGTCCTTGTGTGAACGGGCCTTTAGGAATAATCTACCGCTCCACTATCAGGTCCTCTTCCACTAAATGTCTATTTTTGTATCTGATTCTTTGCCGCCTGTATGAGCGCAGCCGTGCTGTTGTTATCACATGTCACAGATTACATATGGTGTGTCAGTGGCCCTACTATTGATGCTTACAACTAAACTCACATGCTGTGCTTTGGGTGGCACTACACTTCTGACCATCTCTGCTTGATGGCTCATCTAGTTTGGCTCATCTAGTTTGGCTCATCTAGTTTGCTGTGGGTAAATGTGTGTTGAAACCTTGGCTTTATAGAGCTCCAGCTCGTTGTCTGTGATTCTCCAGGGTTCTTCGCTCTTCATCTTCTCAGCCGCGTCCTGCTCCATGTCGTCTTCTCTCAGTTTATACGGCTCGATCATCTCAGCAAACTCTGTCAGACTGAATGGCAAACACACACGGTTGGCATTGTGAAAGCTGAAGCGAAATGTTCAAATGTTCTAAGGAATGAGAGAACTGGTATGATGGGAATCTTGAGGAACAATTATAAAATCAGGTTGTTTTTTTAAACCGTGAGACAGGTCTGGCTCAGCATACACTGCTTCATCAACCATGCATCCGTTTATATGCCTTTCTGAAGTGTATGGAAGTTTTGATTCTTGCTCGAGGGTTTTATTGAGTGTGATTGGCAGAACATGCCATGGTTTAATTTTAACTGTAGGTGTGTGTAAACTGAGTATATTCAGATTTTTCATGGATTGATTTAGAATCATTAAAAATTGCATTGCTGAATGGATTTTCTCTTGCGTTTAGCTGTTAAAATATCAACAAGACTCAAATACAAAACCAGCACCCAAATGCAGTCGCAATTACACATTTAACACACACACAAAGAAAAGGATTAGCAGTGAAGCAGATGTGAGTAATATCCCAGTAGAGCTCTTCTGAGAAGTGTCGTGCAGATCTTACCCCTCCGACTTGGGCTTTGTGTTGACGTCGCCCAGGACAGTGATGTCAGAGAAATCGATCCTGAACTTGCTGAGCAATGTGGCCATGCTGAGGAAAGAGCAACAAAGTCATCACATATTTATCAGGCAATCATAAATAATGCACACAATATTGCCACCGCTTCCTTGCAGCTCAGACAGTCCTTCACATGCTCCATGCAGAAGGAAGCGGTTCTGAACGCTGGGATGAACACTGCAGTGTGTCAGACTCAACAGAAACATGTGCAGATGAACATGTGAAAGACCTCACAGTCTCTATGAAGACCTTACCGCTGGAACACGGATAATTATAGCGAACAAAGGCACTGGCAGCTGCAGAGGACAATGGGAAACATTTGTCTCACACTCACACACACACAGCGTGTGCCACAGAGAGAACGCTTTATGTAAAAAGAAATCGCATACTAATATGATTCATGGTCCAGCTCTCACTCGTCTGTGTGATCTCAACTCTACAGGACTAGCCCTGACATCTGTGAGATGAAGTCAAATATCAAAGAAAAGCATATTCTTATAGTTCATGTGTCATGCATGTTGACCGTGTTCTTCTATAGAAAAGAGAAAGAAAAGCACATTCTTCTCAGTTATGATTCTAATATAAATAATGCAGTAATGACACTACGTGTGTATGCAGTATTGATGTACGCACGCTCTGCGGTCGTGGTCGATCCGGTTGATCTTTCCTCCGATGAACACGCGGATCTTACAGTCCTTCCACTTCTTCTTGTTGGCGATGAGATAGGGGATCAGCAGAGTCAGACCTGGCACAGAGATGACACACATTACACATGATCTAGCAGGAGAGGCAGCTCTACAGATGATAAACTTGACATGTAATACGAGGGTCAGTCTGTGAGAAGCATCAGTCAGGCTGTGGTGTTTCCAGCAGCTCCAAGTCAAGTCATCTTCATTTATATAGCGCTTTTAACAATGTAGATTGTTTCAAAGCAGCTTTACAGTGATAATAGGAGATTACAGTAACAGAGATTGTTTTACAGCAGCTCTAGCATAAAGTTATTGTCCAGCTAAAGTTAGTTTTAATTGATTCACTTCTGTCACAACGATCATTAGTAATTAACTTAGGGGCCGCTAACACGACACCGTTCTAACAGAAAACTCTTAAGTTCTCTCTACACAAGCTTTAAAAACGCGAACCTGTGAGAGCGCTGATGGCGTGCACATGCGCATTAAGAGTTTATTCTATAGATATGGGCGTTTGAATATACACTCACCGGCCACTTTATTAGGTACCCCATGCTAGTAACGGGTTGGACCCCCTTTTGCCTTCAGAACTGCCTCAATTCTTCGTGGCATAGATTCAACAAGGTGCTGGAAGCATTCCTCAGGGAGTTTGGTCCATATTGACATGATGGCATCACACAGTTGCCGCAGATTTGTCGGCTGCACATCCATGATGCGAATCTCCCGTTCCACCACATCCCAAAGATGCTCTATTGGGTTGAGATCTGGTGACTGTGGAGGCCATTTTAGTACAGTGAACTCATTGTCATGTTCAAGAAACCAATTTGAAATGATTAGAGCTTTGTGACATGGTGGAAGTAGCCATCAGAGGATGGGTACATGGTGGCCATAAAGGGATGGACATGGTCAGAAACAATGCTCAGGTAGGCCGTGGCATTTAAACGATGCCCAATTGGCACTAAGGGGCCTAAAGTGTGCCAGGAAAACATCCCCCACACCATTACACCACCACCACCAGCCTGCACAGTGGTAACAAGGCATGATGGTTCCATGTTCTCATTCTGTTTACGCCAAATTCTGACTCTAACATCTGAATGTCTCAACAGAAATCGAGACTCATCAGACCAGGCAACATTTTTCCAGTCTTCAACTGTTCAATTTTGGTGAGCTCTTGCAAATTGTAGCCTCTTTTTCCTATTTGTAGTGGAGATGAGTGGTACCCGGTGGAGTCTTCTGCTGTTGTAGCCCATCCGCCTCAAGGTTGTGCGTGTTGTGGCTTCACAAATGCTTTGCTGCATACCTCGGTTGTAACGAGTGGTTATTTCAGTCACTGTTGCCCTTCTATCAGCTCGAACCAGTCTGGCCATTCTCCTCTGACCTCTGGCATCAACAAGGCATTTCCGCCCACAGAACTGCCGCTCACTGGATGTTTTTTCTTTTTCGGACCATTCTCTGTAAACCCTAGAGATGGTTGTGCGTGAAAATCCCAGTAGATTAGCAGTTTCTGAAATACTCAGACCAGCCCTTCTGGCACCAACAATCATGCCACGTTCAAAGTCACTCAAATCAACTTTCTTCCCCATACTGATGCTCGGTTTGAACTGCAGGAGATTGTCTTGACCATGTCTACATGCCTAAATGCACTGAGTTGCCGCCATGTGATTGGCTGCTTAGAAATTAAGTGTTAACGAGCAGTTGGACAGGTGTACCTAATAAAGTGGCCGGTGAGTGTATGTGCGCAGGCATGTAGTCCTTCCCTAAAAAAACAACCCTCATCAAACTACTTGTCTGGCATTGAAATTTATAATACAGAATTTTATCGCTTCGGCGTAGACACGCGAACCGGAATTTTAACGACAACGATTATCTGTACAGAGGTAAAGGGAAGGAGGCCTTCACAGGGAGGGACTAGTGACACTTCAGGACTGCGTTGTCGTTGTGTACAGGCGCAGGTCCTTCATCAGATCTGGATACAGCGGACTGCAGTAAACCTCGGGATAAACAGACTAATATTAGCTTAGATGCCATTCTTCTTATGATGTATCAAGTACATCAGGATTTATGGGGAGTGTTCCCGGTTCCGGCTGACCTAATCTATGCAGCCTAACATTGAATTACAGAAGTCTGGGAAGTCCATTAAGAGCTCACTCAAGTACTGCGGAGCTAAACCATTTAGTGCTTTGTAAGTAATCAACAATATTTTAAAATGTATACGATGTTTAATATGGAGCCAATGCAGAGTTGACAGAACCGGGCTGATATGGTCATATGTCCTGGTTCTGGTAAGAACTCGAGCTGCTGTGTTTTGGACCAGCTGTAGTTTGTTTATTAAGCGTGCAGGGCAACCACCCAGTAGAGCATTACAATAATCTAGTCTTGATGTCATGAACGCATGAACTAATTGTTCTGCCTTTGTCAATAAGAGCATATGGTGTGATTTAGATATATTTTTAAGATGGAAGAATGCGGTTTTACATATACTATTAACATAAATTTCAAATGAGAGATTGGTATCAAAGAGCACACACGTTCCTAACCGACAACGAAGACTTAACAGAGCAGCCATCAAGTGTTAGACAGTATTCTAGGTTATTACGTGAGGACGTTTTTTGTCCAATAATTAGAATCTCTGTTTTTTCAGAGTTAAGAAGTAGGAAATTACTAGTCATCCAGTTTTTTATATCAGCTATGCATTCCGTTAATTTTGTGAATTGGTAAGTTTCGTCAGGGCGTGAAGAAATATAGAGCTGAGTATCATCGGCATACAGGGCCGGCTCTAGCCCTTTGGTTGCCCTAGGCGAGATTGATTTTTGCGCTAATTCTGTACGATCAAGTTGCGTTTTTTTAACAAGTGGTTTAATCATAGCCAAATTGAAACTAGATTTTTTAGTAATTTTGAAAATATTACTATAAATTACAGCAACACCTCCCTCTTGCAGCTAGCATACTAATCCAAATACGACCTGCTCCTCACCACGGCGCGTCTCAGGTGCTGCGGTTATCACTCCGCCCAAGTAGCAGTGCTTCGCCTTCAGAGAATATAGTTCCCAGTATTTATACGGTTAAAATATGTCTGTCTCATGTGACTGTTTTTTGTACACTCTGTGACTATACAAATCACAACATGTAAATAGGAAAATGTTTGCGTTATTTTGTCACTTATTTGGATTAGTATGCTAGCTGCAACCATTTACATCCCGTCTTTGTGCTAAGCTAGGCTAGCGGTGGGTGCGTCAAACAGACTTATAGCACGCACAGAGATGAAAAAGGTATGTATGGACTTATCTAACTCTGGGGGATAAGGTGAATAGGCTAAAGTCCCAAAAAGTCGGAGTGTTCCTTTAAGCACTGTTTCACAGGTGCATCTGCAAATACGCTTTATGGTTCATTGATCAAGCATGAAAAATATTGTTTAAACACTTTCCAATAGATATATAAAAACAATTAGGATTTTACACAATTATCTAAAAAAAAAACTAAAAAAAACAGTATCCTAAAAAGGTCCTTCATCTATAAAGGGTTTCTTTTGTTGCCAAGTTTAGATGTGCAGATCCTGAAGGAGACACTTTTACTGCTGCCTTACACACTGACAGGTTTGACACGAGTTCAGTGTGTGTGTGTGTGTGTGTGTGTGTGTGTGTGTGTCATGACAGCAGTAAAGTGGCTCTGCTGCATTTCAAGTATGCGTCTGTGCAATGACTGTGTGTTAAATCAACACCACATGACTTTTACAGTACTGAAGTGGTTCTACATGGTTAAATAGGATGGACAGGATGTGATAATACAGTGTGTGTCATACAGATTTGCCTTGTAAAACAGAAAGCCCTGCTAGGCCCTTCCCATCGGAGCAACTCCTCCTCCAGACTTGAGTCATTGGTAGCCTACACGCCTGAAGCGATGCTCTTTTAGCCGGTGTCTGTGTTACAGCGCTCGAGCCGTCGCTTCACTGCCTGCCAGAAGCTCCTCACATCAAGAGTGAGCGGCACCGCACATAAATATATCAGTGAGTCATCTTACAGTATGAGTTAGCTAGCATGAAAATACTGATGAAAATGATGTTTAGAGAAATACTGTAAGGTACGGTCAGGACTGGACACTCAGCATTGCTGGCGGACTCGGGTCAATGCTAGACGCTCGGCACAGATGCTGGAATGTCACTGGTCAGCACACAGGTTATTCATCAAGTCTAGTCAGTTTGAATGATCACGTGACTTTAGACTGCTCAAGTGAAAGAACTCGAGTACTCGTACGCTGTCCGACAGGTTTTCTGTACACACGTCTGAAGCGCACATACACACAGCTCCTGTCACACACACACACACACAGAGCTCCTGTCACACACACACACACAAACAGAGCTCCTGTCACACACACACACACAGAGCTCCTGTCACACACACACACACACACACACGGAGCTCCTGTCACACACACAGAGCTCCTGTCACACACACAGAGCTCCTGTCACACACACAGAGCTCCTGTCACTGAAGTACTGAAGAGAGCTCTTTAACACGCCTAAACTGGACAATACACACAAAAACTTAATATCATTGACAGGGTTTGAAATTAACACACCAACCCAGCAAATGCAGGTAAAAATAAACTGTGGCGGATCAAGTCAACAAGGCAAACCAACGCTGTCAAATCACGAGCCAATTTGGCGTTTTACTTATTATGTTCACTCACTTTGCTGGAGATTTAGCGCAAATACTCATATCTGCGCAGAATCTGCTCATATCTGCTTACTTGAACACACACGTCACTACGCAACAAATAACGGCGCGCTTGTTCAATTGCATTGAAGATTAAAAAGCATTTGGTTAACAGAAAAGACATTGTTATTTACCAACATCCAACATTCTTTTATGTGGACAGATCAATACAGTACAAAGAACATCAAACACATTTATGGTGAAGAGGATGACAGAGGAAGAGGAGATGCTGGATGACAGGATTTAGTTTCAATAAGAAATTAATGTATGAACTTCAAATTTTATATATACACCATATATTATATAAAATGGCTAGTAACTTAAAGGATTAGTTCACTTTTAAAAAAACGTTTGCTGATAATTTAGTCACCCCCATGTCATCCAAGATGTCCATGTCTTTCTTTCTTCAGTCGAAAAGAAATTAAGGTTTTGGATGAAAACATTCCAGGATTTTTTCTCCATATAATGCACTTCAATGGGGTCCAAACGGTTCAAGGTCCAAATGACCGTTTCAGTGCAGCTTCAAAAGGGCTTTAAACGATACCAGACGATGAATAAGGGTCTTATCTAGAGAAACGATTGGTCATTTCAAAAATAAATAAAAAAGTTTAAGTTTTATAAGCACAAATGCTCACCTTGCTTTGTTCTGTGATGCGTGTTCGTGACGTCACGTAATACGCAATTACGTTGAAAAGGTCTCACAGAACAGAGTCATCACAGAACAGAGCAAGGCGAGCATTTGTGCTTATAAAACTTAAACTTTTTTATTTATTTTTGAAATGACCGATCGTTTCGCTAGATAAGACCCTTATTCATCGTCTGGTATCGTTTAAAGCCCTTTGAGCTGCACTGAAACGGTCATTTGGACCTTGAACCGTTTGGACCCCATTGAAGTGCATTATATGGAGAAAAAATCCTGGAATGTTTTCATCAAAAACCTTAATTTCTTTTCGACTGAAGAAAGAAAGACATGGACATCTTGGATGACATGGGGGTGAGTAAATTATCAGCAAAAGTTTTTTTTAAAGTGAACTAATCCTTTAATGTGTAATATACTCTCACCGGCCACTTTATTAGGTACACCTGTCCAACTGCTCGTTAACACAATTTCTAAGCAGCCAATCACATGGCGGCAACTCAGTGCATTTAGGCATGTAGACATGGTCAAGACAATCTCCTGCAGTTCAAACCGAGCATCAGTATGGGGAAGAAAGTTGATTTGAGTGACTTTGAACGTGGCATGATTGTTGGTGCCAGAAGGGCTGGTCTGAGTATTTCAGAAACTGCTAATCTACTGGGATTTTCACGCACAACCATCTCTAGGGTTTACAGAGAATGGTCCGAAAAAGAAAAAACATCCAGTGAGCGGCAGTTCTGTGGGCGGAAATGCCTTGTTGATGCCAGAGGTCAGAGGAGAATGGCCAGACTGGTTCGAGCTGATAGAAGGGCAACAGTGACTGAAATAACCACTCGTTACAACCGAGGTATGCAGCAAAGCATTTGTGAAGCCACAACATGCACAACCTTGAGGTGGATGGGCTACAACAGCAGAAGACTCCACCGGGTACCACTCATCTCCACTACAAATAGGAAAAAGAGGCTACAATTTGCAAGAGCTCACCAAAATTGAACAGTTGAAGACTGGAAAAATGTTGCCTGGTCTGATGAGTCTCGATTTCTGTTGAGACATTCAGATGTTAGAGTCAGAATTTGGCGTAAACAGAATGAGAACATGGAACCATCATGCCTTGTTACCACTGTGCAGGCTGGTGGTGGTGGTGTAATGGTGTGGGGGATGTTTTCCTGGCACACTTTAGGCCCCTTAGTGCCAATTGGGCATCGTTTAAATGCCACGGCCTACCTGAGCATTGTTTCTGACCATGTCCATCCCTTTATGGCCACCATGTACCCATCCTCTGATGGCTACTTCCACCATGTCACAAAGCTCTAATCATTTCAAATTGGTTTCTTGAACATGACAATGAGTTCACTGTACTAAAATGGCCTCCACAGTCACCAGATCTCAACCCAATAGAGCATCTTTGGGATGTGGTGGAACGGGAGATTCGCATCATGGATGTGCAGCCGACAAATCTGCGGCAACTGTGTGATGCCATCATGTCAATATGGACCAAACTCCCTGAGGAATGCTTCCAGCACCTTGTTGAATCTATGCCACGAAGAATTGAGGCAGTTCTGAAGGCAAAAGGGGGTCCAACCCGTTACTAGCATGGGGTACCTAATAAAGTGGCCGGTGAGTGTATATATATGTATATGAAAAAAGGGAAAAAAAGAAATAAACCAGATTAACTTTGTAACAGCTTATATTATAAGTGTGTGTGTGTGTGTATATATATATATGTATATATATATATATATATACACACACACTCACCGGCCACTTTATTAGGTACCCCATGCTAGTAACGGGTTGGACCCCCTTTTGCCTTCAGAACTGCCTCAATTCTTCGTGGCATAGATTCAACAAGGTGCTGGAAGCATTCCTCAGGGAGTTTGGTCTATATTGACATGATGGCATCACACAGTTGCCGCAGATTTGTCGGCTGCACATCCATGATGCGAATCTCCCGTTCCACCACATCCCAAAGATGCTCTATTGGGTTGAGATCTGGTGACTGTGGAGGCCATTTTAGTACAGTGAACTCATTGTCATGTTCAAGAAACCAATTTGAAATGATTAGAGCTTTGTCACATGGTGGAAGTAGCCATCAGAGGATGGGTACATGGTGGCCATAAAGGGATGGGCATGGTCAGAAACAATGCTCAGGTAGGCCGTGGCATTTAAACAATGCCCAATTGGCACTAAGGGGCCTAAAGTGTGCCAGGAAAACATCCCCCACACCATTACACCACCACCACCAGCCTGCACAGTGGTAACAAGGCATGATGGTTCCATGTTCTCATTCTGTTTACGCCAAATTCTGACTCTAACATCTGAATGTCTCAACAGAAATCGAGACTCATCAGACCAGGCAACATTTTTCCAGTCTTCAACTGTTCAATTTTGGTGAGCTCTTGCAAATTGTAGCCTCTTTTTCCTATTTGTAGTGGAGATGAGTGGTACCCGGTGGAGTCTTCTGCTGTTGTAGCCCATCCGCCTCAAGGTTGTGCGTGTTGTGGCTTCACAAATGCTTTGCTGCATACCTCGGTTGTAACGAGTGGTTATTTCAGTCACTGTTGCCCTTCTATCAGCTCGAACCAGTCTGGCCATTCTCCTCTGACCTCTGGCATCAACAAGGCATTTCCGCCCACAGAACTGCCGCTCACTGGATGTTTTTTCTTTTTCGGACCATTCTCTGTAAACCCTAGAGATGGTTGTGCGTGAAAATCCCAGTAGATTAGCAGTTTCTGAAATACTCAGACCAGCCCTTCTGGCACCAACAATCATGCCACGTTCAAAGTCACTCAAATCACCTTTCTTCCCCATACTGATGCTCGGTTTGAACTGCAGGAGATTGTCTTGACCATGTCTACATGCACGTAGTTGCCGCCATGTGATTGGCTGCTTAGAAATTAAGTGTTAACGAGCAGTTGGACAGGTGTACCTAATAAAGTGGCCGGTGAGTGTATATATATATATATATATATATATATATATATATGCGCCTATATATAAAAGCTGTGACGTAGTGGTTTATTTATTTCTTTTGGCTAGTAGTAGTTCTGAATGGTTAATAACTTAATGTAGTAGCTAAATTGGCCGATGAGTGAAAAAGTTAATTTCAAACCCTGATCATTAACATGAAACTCGTCTCATGAATTGTGGTCGTGTTTTTGGGTTTCTCTAACCGTGTTGTGAATAGAATTGCTGTAAACTAATGTCTCTTTGCTGTACTCATTATCAGGGGATTTTATTAGTTCAACATATCGGCAGCTTTTAAATACAAGTTTGTAATATGCAATTGCTGTTTCCATGACATTAAGAACAGACTGCAGTCAAAAACAGTAACTATTTTTCTTTCTTTTTTGTGGTTGAGCCAGTAAAAATTTTGGCAGGACAAGTGAAGATCTGCTAGATTATTTAGTCTCTTGATCTCAGTTATTCCCACTGGCAGCTCTGGAGATCCTCCAGACAGAAGGCTGAGCAGCTTTCCCAGCTTTACTCCGCCAGAACATTAACTTCCGCTTACAGAAAGAGGAAACTTTGCCTTTGCCGGCAGCCGTAGTGGTTTATGATCCAGGTAAACGCTGCTGTACGGTTGCGGTATACACCTCTGCATCTCAGACGACACAACATCATACTTTATCCATGCTGTATATTGCCTTCTTGTTCCATCGGTTTTCCCAACATATGAAGAATTGAATGAATCATTCCCATATAAACCCAATCCAATTGTGACCAAATGTCAGATTTCACGATGCATCGCAATTCACCCTTCGCAGAGTTTGATTGACAGGCGATCTGACCAATCATAATCCGCCATTTTGTCCGACAAAGCAGTCAGGAGAGTTAGTAGATTATCACTGGTGGATTTGAACTTGATAAACGGTGTACTGACCTCTTTCCACGGTTAAAACATTCCTTCTGATGGTCATTCATGTTTATTTGATGCTATAAATGAACTAAAGGAAGAGATGATTGGTTCACAAGAGGCTTTAACTGAGGCTCTAGCGATCTGTGTCTCAAATGTTTTTAAAGAAATTTAAACAATAAATACTGTTGTGTGTCTCTTTAATGTCAAAGTTGAGACTTTGTGTCATATGAAGAGTAAGCTGGTCTGTCCTGTCTGTCAGCGCGTGGTCAGTGTCCTCTCGGCTCCGCGATGTGCGTTTCACTGCATGAGAACGTGTGGCTTGTCGGACATGGCAACAGTAACCGAGGGGGGCGGGTCTTTGCGAACGCTCAATTGTAAGTTTGCACATGTTTTACACTCACCCCCATCATCAAAGAGCCACCACACGTCGACCGTGCCCTTGCCCTGCTTCTGCTGGAACTGCTGACTGGCGTCCAACAGCCGCTGGTCCGCCACGTTCAGAGGAAGCGTCGGGCTCCGTTTATCTGGAGTCACAAACACACACACCGTCACACACCAGATCAGGACACACACACACCAACAACAATCCATGAGCAGACAGAAGAAAGGAAAGACTGAAGCAGACTCTTCAGTGGGAAAGACAAGCAACCCTGCAGGAAGACACAGAGAATTAGAACGTGACAGGAAGTGACATCATCGGAGCTGAAACACTAACACATCTAGATCAGGTCAGAGGTCACACCAGCAGAAAACACTCAAAGCGGCGATTCCTAAAATGTTGCAGAGAAAAGGAGCATGCAGGTGTGAGAGAGCGGAGTGTGAGAACGAGAGACACATGCCTTTCTTCAACAGCGGCCGAGTGTGAGCTTTGCCATCATCATCCTCATCTGGATAAACACATGAGAGGGTTAGAGTCGCTAATGCTGCGATGGGAAACATGTGCGTCAGTCACAAACACACATATGTGTGCTGCAGTGTATTATGAGGCAGGTGACCTGCTGAGAAACCTCCATCATCTTCATCATTAACACACACACACACACTCATGCTGTCTGTGGTCCAGATCGTGAGCAGCTTCATGATGACTCTGTGAATTATGATCGAGCTGCTGCTGTATGAGCTCTATTACCCAGAAGTCTACACGGCATCACGCCACCACAGTGTGGACTCAGGGGAGGAGCACAAAACAAAAAACATAACCCATTTCATTTCTATTCCCTATAGACGGCGCTCTGAGAAGCCCAATCTAGCCCTCGTGTGCTGCCCGCTCAGGGCACACTCACCCCAGACCCGACAGTGATGGAACAATTCATTTATATCACTTACTCTACTCATGTTCTTACAGTACAGTAGTGCAGTTTCAGAGGATTTAAGTTTCTTTTTTATTATTTATTTGCCTCATAATGAAGTGAAATTAAGTGACACCATTACATATCCGTAGATGGAGAACATATGCAAACACACACATTGAAACGCATGTAACACACATAACCTCATGTTCAGGTTTGACTGTAATGTGGCAAAAAATGATACTAAATACAAAAGAAAACTTTGACAAACGGTCATTTTATTTTCATAATACATATTTTATGTCTTAACAAATCGAAATGGAAAAACCTGTATATACATATATATAGTATATGAGTGAGTGAGACTGCCATCTACTGGGAAACACTTTTAAAATAACATGAACTTCCCCTATAGCCACCAGATGGGCTCAGAGGATTACTCAGAGATCATATGCCGTTCCCACACAGGTGTACATCTTTCCACAGGTTTTTCCATTTCGATTTGTTAAGACATAAAATATGTATTATGAAAATAAAATGACCGTTTGTCAAAGTTTTCTTTTGTATTTAGTATCATTTTTTGCCACATTACAGTCAAACCTGAACATGAGGTTATGTGTGTTACATGCGTTTCAATGTGTGTGTTTGCATTTGTTCTCCATCTACGGATATGTAATGGTGTCACTTCATTTCTGTGTGTTCTGCATTGTAGCTGAAGTGTTTTTGACAAATTATGGAATATAGAGCAGCTTGTCTCGCCCATTCATCTCCGTGTGTGATTGTGTGGGTTTTGGGGGCCGGGTGTTTTGTGTATGTGTTTACTTCGCAAGTATCATGCCATTTAGATGAAGGAAATTATTTTTTGTATTTTTATTTTTTAAATCAGCAAACATCATCTGGGGTATGAACAGTGCATAAGGCTGTTCACCCAAATCAAACGTGCATTTAGAAACCAGTTCATGCTGTCAGTATTGTGCTAGAAATTTGGCAAATGCAAGCCAGTGAACGCTTCAGGTGTGGGGTAGACCTAAACACTTCTGTGAACGCACATTTAGGAAAATGGGTGCACATGGTGACAGGCCAAACTTCAGCAAATCCTGCTTCCCTAAAACCATCTGAGCGTCTACAGCGGCCGTGTGTGTCCGTTCTGCTCGTGTTCTCCAGTGTGCTCATCTGCCTGACCCCTGGTGATCGCCGCTTGCAGCTATATTTGTTTTTTATGAGTATTTTCTCAGCCTTCAGAGAGCGCTGTGATGTCAGACGGTGCTGAGAGGGCCCAAACCTCAGACCTCCATGCCATTTATCATGGACTAACTACAAACATGACAAGCCGAGTAAACACTCGCACTGTTCCCAGCGCACACACATCTGAGAACACGGTTTGTTGTTTGTTGTGTTGTATTGGGCAGACATTTCAGGAAACACATGGAGTGTGGATGAGTTGGGATGTGAAATGCTTCTGATGAGAACCGGGCCCAGAGGGACATGAAGGTCAACATGTGACTTCTGCTCTGAGCAACCACTGCCCACGAGGAGCATTTCACCAAACTCCTGGGAAATACTCTCATCTGAGGTTTCGCTTTCAGCATTTTCTCCCAGAACAGAACATTATTTAAAGGATACATAGAACTCTGAAGAACAAGTGTGAAGTGCTTCTCCGTGAACACACAGAGATGTGAGGTGTGCTGACCTTTCTGCACGGCGGGGCTGTTCTGGACACTGGTGGCCTTGGAGGAGGGTTTGGACGAGTCTCCATCCGAGTCTTTACTCATGTCAACCGAAACCACCACATCCTTCAGACCTGAAGAATCATCTTTAGAGACATGCAAAGTTCAGCTTTGAGGTCAAGGCAAATTCAAGTTTAGCGTGAATGGCAAGTTATCTGAAAATGACCTCATTACATGGACAATTTCATCCGCACAAACACTACATGTCTAGAATCACGCAGGTCCAGCTGCGAACATCATGCTGTCCATCTCGATGTTTCAAAGACTTAAAACACTTTCCTGCTCTCATAGAAACAGAATCAATATCATACGTGTGTAGTTCACAGCTAGTGAACCGCTGATGACACGTTCTCCTGAAGCTAACGGACAAGAACTCAACAGCACTAAGCAGAGGCATCTGACAATGTGACTGGTTAAAGTAGTAATAGATGTACAGCACTGTACCTTGGCCTTGAATGTGAGAAATATCGAGTCCCTCTCGCAGTCTGAGAATGACGACACCGTACTGAAAATCAAACGCATCGCTACACACACACACACACACACACAAACAAACAAGAGTTAATATCTCACAGGAGGAAGACCCAAACCATTTACATCAAAGCTGCGTTTGCTCATAAACATCCACCAGACGTTCCTCAGATGTAGATGCAGCTGAAGAGGACAGGGCATATTATGAAAATGCATAAATGTTCCAGCATTTGCAACAGCTCAGCACTGGAGTGCTCCACCTGAAGGACTACTGTGTGTGGACAGCCAGTGCCTAACTTCAGCTGGGCCGTTATTGTGGATTTTTGCGTTCCGACATTTGTTTTTAAATTATCCGGCATAAACAAGGGCATTAAATGGTGCGTGTGAGAGACAGAGCAAGTGCGAGTTAATGTAATATTTATTCTGGAGGTTATGTTTAGCTATTCGCCCTCAGCATATACACTCACCGGCCACTTTATTAGGTACCCCATGCTAGTAACGGGTTGGACCCCCTTTTGCCTTCAGAACTGCCTCAATTCTTCGTGGCATAGATTCAACAAGGTGCTGGAAGCATTCCTCAGGGAGTTTGGTCCATATTGACATGATGGCATCACACAGTTGCCGCAGATTTGTCGGCTGCACATCCATGATGCGAATCTCCCGTTCCACCACATCCCAAAGATGCTCTATTGGGTTGAGATCTGGTGACTGTGGAGGCCATTTTAGTACAGTGAACTCATTGTCATGTTCAAGAAACCAATTTGAAATGATTAGAGCTTTGTGACATGGTGGAAGTAGCCATCAGAGGATGGGTACATGGTGGCCATAAAGGGATGGACATGGTCAGAAACAATGCTCAGGTAGGCCGTGGCATTTAAACGATGCCCAATTGGCACTAAGGGGCCTAAAGTGTGCCAGGAAAACATCCCCCACACCATTACACCACCACCACCAGCCTGCACAGTGGTAACAAGGCATGATGGTTCCATGTTCTCATTCTGTTTACGCCAAATTCTGACTCTAACATCTGAATGTCTCAACAGAAATCGAGACTCATCAGACCAGGCAACATTTTTCCAGTCTTCAACTGTTCAATTTTGGTGAGCTCTTGCAAATTGTAGCCTCTTTTTCCTATTTGTAGTGGAGATGAGTGGTACCCGGTGGAGTCTTCTGCTGTTGTAGCCCATCCGCCTCAAGGTTGTGCGTGTTGTGGCTTCACAAATGCTTTGCTGCATACCTCGGTTGTAACGAGTGGTTATTTCAGTCACTGTTGCCCTTCTATCAGCTCGAACCAGTCTGGCCATTCTCCTCTGACCTCTGGCATCAACAAGGCATTTCCGCCCACAGAACTGCCGCTCACTGGATGTTTTTTCTTTTTCGGACCATTCTCTGTAAACCCTAGAGATGGTTGTGCGTGAAAATCCCAGTAGATTAGCAGTTTCTGAAATACTCAGACCAGCCCTTCTGACACCAACAATCATGCCACGTTCAAAGTCACTCAAATCAACTTTCTTCCCCATACTGATGCTCGGTTTGAACTGCAGGAGATTGTCTTGACCATGTCTACATGCCTAAATGCACTGAGTTGCCGCCATGTGATTGGCTGCTTAGAAATTAAGTGTTAACGAGCAGTTGGACAGGTGTACCTAATAAAGTGGCCGGTGAGTGTATATTCTTGATCTGCTTTCTTAAGTTCAAGAGAGTGTATATACCTGTTAATAAGTTAATATCGCCAACTGTCAAAAAGACAGTCAAGCATATATTCCTTTTCCATATCCACGATTAAAGCTGATGGTGTTTGTGATCAAGAGAGATCCCGATAGAACTGCTAACACTGATGAGGATAGCAGAGACACGAGTCAGATCACTCCCAATCAGAAGTCCCCGTCGCCGGTGAGAGGACATCACTGATCGGCTGAACGATTCTTGGCCTCAATGTAGCTTTACACATCACATGACAGATACACACTCGGCTGTGGTCAAGGCTGTGCAGAAACTTGTGAAGTTGTGTGTCATTGTGTGTGTTCTGGGAAAACCTAAGCTGTTTGGTCAGTGTCGGTCACGGCGCCTTTTAATAATTTGCGATTCTTAATTTACAAATGAAGCGCTGTAGATGATGCGCAAGCATGTCTCTGACGCCACTGCTGCCCCGGTGACGAGCCGTTTTGCACATCTTTTGCATCTATTTCTCGCTCTACTGCAGCAAAAACAAACTCAAGAAACTCATGTTACATGGAAGACTCTGTGACATAACCAGAGTTCAGGAAAACAAACCACTTATCATTGTACTAGCAGAGTAAAAACTGATGACACACTAATTCAAGAGGATAATTATTAATAGTGGATTGATTTGAAACAGAAGATGAAACCCACTGTATTAGGTTGATGTAGGTCTCAACATCCTTTATATCTCCAATACGCCAGTCGTTTTTGAAACCAAGCACCAGAGTGTTGGGCCTCAATCTACCCAGTCCAGCAGCCTGGAAAACACCCACACACACACACACTTTGGTTTATTAGGACTTTCCATAGGCAAAAAATGTGTTTATACTGAGCTCATGACATTTTCTATAACCCAACTCTCGTTTTACATTTTTTAATAAAACATTTGGTATGCTTATTCAGTGTTTTTTTTTTCACAATTACTGTCTCAGTTAGCATGTCCAATAATGTAGAGAGGAAGGTTTTGGGAGGCCAATTTTGGCCCCATAATGTAGGTCAAATCAGCAAACGCGCCCACACACACAGCAGAAGTAAATATCTTAAAACAGGCGAAAGCACAGAAGTCAGCTGTGAGCAGATTACAGGGTCACGTGAACACTGCGCTGAGCAGGGACCAATCAGGCCAAGGGATTTCAGGCCAAATGAGCTTCTGACCAATGAAAACGCTAAAGTTAAAAATGCAGTAACTTTGTAAGGATTGACATGCACATTATGTGAGCCAACTTTGGTAAACATTGGATAAAACTTGTAGGAGAAGCAAAAAAAAAAAAAAAAAACTAAACTAACCAGTGAGCAAGATCCTAAAACCAAGTATTAAACAAATCTTTTGTGAATAGGGCTATAAAACCCCCTCAGAATTAAACACACACACACACACACACGCGCACGCACCTGCAACAGGTACTGTGTGCCTTGCCGGAGGTCTTCAGCCACCACGGGTGTGTAGAAGGCCTTGGAGTTGTTGTTGAGGAGCCACCGCTGGTAGCGCACCATATCACTGCTCATCTCTTTAAAGTTGGGCCGCCGAGAACTCTGAGAACGAACACAGGAACGACACGAAAGAGACCAGTTGAAGTGATGCCACAGGAACATCAAGTCAAGTCACCTTTATTTATATACTACAATACAGACTGTTGCAAAGCAGCTTCACAGTGAGAAACAGGAGAATAGAGATCAATGATGCGAACCGAGTTCAGTTCTGCTGTAAAGCAACTCTAAAAGACAATAGTGTCATTGTTCAGTTCAGTTCATTAACTGTGTAAAGATCATCAATTATGAAATGAGTTCAATTCATGAATAAAACAGCACTTCAGAAAACAGTGACGTCATTGTCATGAAATCCAAAAACTTGGAGAAACAAGCCTGGTTTCTGGTTTCAGCCAACCTGTGCGATTTCGATTCCAGGAACGTGTTTTGTAAAATGAACTCATGGAAGCTTTTCCAGACAATGTACTCTTGATTAGCATGTACTCTTGATTAGCATGTACTCTTGATTAGCATGTACTCTTGATTAGCATGTACTCTTGATTAGCATGTACTCTTGATTAGCATGTACTCTTGATTAGCATGTACTCTTGATTAGCATGTACTCTTGATTAGCATGTACTCTTGATTAGCATGTACTCTTGATTAGCATGTACTCTTGATTAGCATGTACTCTTGATTAGCATGGTCCACACGGACCCCTAAAGGAGACCGGTTTATTTTCAACAACTATAAATCCCTGTCCCCACTGAGTTCAGGGAAGTTTTATTACACCGAGAACATGTTCCAATTAGCAGAGTCAAAAACAGATCGCACAACAGTCTACTCGCTCCTAAAACACACACACACACCACATGTTCTCCACATATTAACAGACATCAGCCGTCACAGAAGGTACTCACGATGCGCACATGACCGCACACCATCAGACCCACGTTCTTGGTGAAGGCGTGGACCAGATGAAGAATGGCTGGTCGTGAGTTTGGCGCTCCAGTCATCACCAGACACTGAGGCCTAGAAGAGACACACACACACACACCACACGTCACCTGCACATCACACACCGCGAGATCCGCAGAACATTGTACATTGGCGTTCATTAAAGTGTAAAGGGCCATAAGACATCAGCAAAAGCAGCACATAGTGTGCCGTGCGTTACGTTCTCATGACCTCCAGGGTCAGCGGTCCAGGCTAGAGCAGAACACACAGCTCAGATTAGAGGCTTCAAAGCAAAAATGTTAAGAATAAAACAGGATTATGCCGAGGGTATAGCGTTTGATTTGAAGGTACTGTCAGAAAACCGGTAATCTCTGACCCTGGAGGATCTAGCAGCTCTTCCTCTGCTCTCAACATGTGATTCAGTCACACACACACACACCGCGCAGAACACGTTACACTGAGGATCAGTCAATCTAGAGCACTTGATCAAACACAACACTATTACATCTATTTTTTCCTCAAACAAGTCCATTATGATTTTTCATGCATGTGTTAGTCACATATTTTGATTGCATTTAAAGAAAATTATATACTTTTTGTTGAACAATCAATGGCAAAGATTTTCAAGCTTGAACTAGTCAAGGGACCATTGAGGCTCTAACCTTGACTTTGCCTGGAGTCAGATTCATGAATAACAGCCGCCTTAACCACATGTTAGTACATGTTTGATAGTTAATGGGATAGTCAGTGTTTAGGGGTAAAGTAAAACCCAAAAAGCCCCATTAGAATAAATTATCCATAACATATACTTCGAATTAAACATTTAAACATGTATTATTGCCTTGGTTTAAAGCTTCCAAGCATTGGTCATGGTGCAGGGTTGCTTTGATTTTCTACGTTTGATATGGAGGATCTACGGAAATAATTGTTATCTCCATTTCAGTATGTGGAGGGTTTGTTTCTGGCACTTATTACTATCCATACTCCATACTACTGCCATGCTGACAATTTTCAGCTAAATATGTTAAGTTAATCATTTGTTATATGTGTATTGCATTTTTACAAATGTTATGTACAGCAATAAACCGTGTTTATTGCTAAGTCCATATAAAAATAAAATAAAATGACGACTTGGTTTAGGGGATAGATCATTATTAAAGTCCCCCTGTGGTGAAAATCCAGCTTTTAATGTTGTTTATGTGTCTATGTGGTGTTTTTAATATGCTTTAAGACAAACCATGTGTAAATTCATAAGTCGACAGCATTGCGGAGTATTTTCTCCTTAAAAACTGCAGTGAACCAAAGACAGTCTCAAAAACACGGGTGGAAATCACTGGTGTTTCTGATGTCACAAACTTGTAACCAATCAGATTGTCAACGAGTGGATATCTGAGCTGAGTGAGTGAGTGGAGGCGGGCTCATTTGCATATTCATAGAATGCACGTATACTAAATGAGGCAAGGGTGTCGAGTTACATTCAAGATATTTTAGGGCGACTTTAACTCTGAGTGATTACTAAAATCAACTCATAATTATAAACTTACTATCAAACTAGTATCAGCCCAGTTAAGTGATGTGTAAAGCCCTTTGGTGGGTCACGGCCGGCGTCTGGATGGTTAAGTCCTTTGGAACCGTTATAGAAACAGTTCTTTTTAATCATTATCATTACAAAGTAGCAACGATAAACATACTAAAAGTACACTAAATCAGATGATAAGCTCCACGTCTTCTTGAACATCATCTCTAGAGCTTGAGCACATGGATAAAGCATCTGAAAGCTGGAATACACTACACAACCTTTGCAGACTGGAGAACTCGACACTAGATGCTGAAAGCCAGTGCAGATTTTGGGCAGTCGGAGTTGACAGATTTCACAGAAAATCAATAGACTTCACACTATGAATCCATCTAGTCGGAGATTAAACACGTCTGGTATTTATTGAATTGACGATTTTTGAACAAATGGTTGTCATTTATCATGCATCTCTAGGAAACGAAGCACAAGTTCCAGCACGAGTTTGTTGTGTTCGGGACATCTGATACTGAAATCTGGTGGCGTGTGTGGTTTAGTGCAGTGCTTCTTCAACCGGTCCTGTGACCCCCCACTGCACATGTTGCAGGTCTTCCTCATTGAACACACAATTCGAGGCTGCGTCCGAAAACGTAGGCAGCCGACTTGCCTCATTGGTAGAGATTGCAATACGAGGGCTGCGTCAATTTTTGAAGGCAGCATAGATGTATCCTTCACTGCTTTTGATATCCCACAATCCTGTGCTTTCCATTCTGTGACAATTGAGCTGGAAAAAGGAGGATGGCATCTGAACGTTGTTGTTGGTCGTCAATTTGTGTGTAAGTGTACGTTTTTGACCAATGTTTTCCACTTATGTCATTTCTAGCGAGAAGTTACTACTGTAGTAATTAAACATTGGTTTAGTTTTCACCAAAGCTCGCTCTATTTTACTGTAGGTCGTTAAACCGTTACGCTGGCTAGAAGTCTGTCCGAAGTCAGTTTCGTGAGGAAGCGTCGTGCGCAAACGCTGCCTTATCAGACAATAACTTTGTAGGTAACATTTGCAGTGAACGGTACATCTATGCTTCTCAAAAATGGATCAGATGAAGGTACTCAGAAGACAGGAGGTGAAGCCAACAGTGAACGAGTCCTCCGAAGCCAGCGTTTATAAGCTTTCAGACGGGCCCTCGTCTCGCAATCTCTACTAATGAGCTGGCGAGTTGAATCAGGTGTTAGATGAGGGACACACCAGAAAAGTGTGGTGGTGGGAGTCCCAGGACAGGGCTGAGAAGCACTGCTTTAGTGCATGATGCAGATTTTTAAAGTCATGTAGTTTATTCCAGCCTTAAAGCACCAACAGCCTCAAATACATTCAGTGTGATAATGAGTGAATCCAGCACATACACGAGTCAAGATCATCAGAACAAGCCTTCAGTAGGAAACTAAACCAAAGGGGGAAATAATCTGAAACACTGTAAAAACTTTTATTAATCACTTATTTCTATATTTACAATTAATACTTCCAGGTATAACAAGCATGAAACACACACACACACACACAGGCTCCATTACCTGTAGGTCTTGATGTGGTCCGCTACTCCGCACAGCTGTAAACTGTGTGTCAGGGCCTGATGATAGGTCAGAGCTTGAGTGGACGAGCCCCAGTTCACATCTGTAATTCAATCCACATTTATTTGTTTTAGCGCTTTTCACAATACACATCGTTTCAAAGTAGCTTTACAGAAAATGCAGGACCGCAACAATTTCATAAAGAGGCAAATTCCCCAAACCAGAACGCCATCATTAGAACTACTACGACCCATGGAGGCATTAGTTAGAAAACGTCTGTGCTGGAGAACTCATGACTGGTGCTCAAGTGTGTTCACCTGGTTTCTTGTAGCTGACGTAGATGTAGAGAGATAAGACAATGACGTTGGTCAAGAGGGCCGCCCACCAGTTGATGATAAACATGACGACACAACATAGGATTGCCCCAGCGAGAGACGCCCACATGTTGTAGTACTTGAAGCTCGGCCTCCATCCTGCCCAACAAACACGGAACAAACACTTAGAGATCTCCAGTCTAACCCAGCGGGCCTGAGGTGCTATGGGTTAGGATTTGGCAACATGGTAAAAGGTCAAAATACCCTTATTACAACCATCAACTGGAGCCAACATATCGGAACGAATAGTTGGGATAAAACCAACAATAGTTCTTTGTGGTCCGAATGTGCTAACTGTGCCATTCTGCTACGTCACGTAACAGTATGGGACACAAACAATGGCACACGGGTGAGTGTGACAGGACAACTGAGAGCTGCTAGTGAAGTGGGGAGGGGACGCCTCTCTGAACAGCGTCCAGAAGCAGAAGACTTCATACGAGCTTGTTAACGGCGTCAAAGCCTCTCAATGTTCTAGAGTCTTTACAACACAAATCAGTCACAGTCAATACAGTTGAAATGTCACAGTTTTATAAAAGCATGAGAACAGAATTGATTAAATGAAGTTAGCATCAGTTAGGATACATAGCAGTTACCACAGCTAGCAAGGGTTCTTGAACACAGGACATGTACTAGAGTAATGGGATTTAGTGGAGTCACGATTACCTTGTAATGCTACAGAAACTACATGACATAAAGGGTACCGAAGCGTTTAAATGGTGTCTGTGGGACATCTGGAGAATGTCATGTGGGAAATCTACACGTACCCTTTATGTTCATGCAAGTGTGTGCAGAGACTATATGAAGTGTCAGAAGTGAAGATATCTACCTGCTGGTCTTCTAGAGCTTTGGTATTGAGGGAAAAACAAACCTCTTTACACAAAGAATAAAGAAATGTGTAAAATTATAACTTCAAAAACAAGAAATGCAGTCAATTACAAGATGCCATTCAGAAAAGAAAAGACTTTCATTTTCATTCAGATATTACAAGGTTTGAATAACACACTCTACAGTTCAACAAAAACCTCTCCTTACAGAGGAACTGTTACTTTGCAAAGTTTTGTGAACTCATGACATGATGGGAAGACCATAGCACTGCATGCTAGAGGTGTGGCGAGACGTCTCGTCGAGGGAGAAGCTGTCTCGCGATATTGCCATGACGGAGCGTGAGGGTGAAGTTAGCATAGAATATGCCACCGCTACATACACCTTACGCTACCCACCGCAGCCCCGCCTCCACTGTCGTTTTGCTTCTTTATAGAAATAAAAACCATTTTAAACTATTGTAAAGGTCTGCTTATCCAGCAGGACAGTTCACCGGTCGCGTGTCGATGGCGGAGGATTCGTTAGGCGGCTGATAAAGGTCTTATCCTGTCGAACGCTCAGCACCGCTGCCCCTAAACAGAGCATGTGATCGCGAATATGAAAGTGAAAGTAAAACACGACTTCCCTGCTGTGCGCAAATCAAGCTGCATACAATAGCCTGTCTCCCAATATCAAACCTGTCTCTGGGCTGTGTAGTCGTGGCTCTGGCCTCTGTTTGCACTTTGAATACTGAGAGAGTACTTTTATTAAGTGCAAACAATAAGTGCAAGTGCAACCATAATCAGACTAAGAAAAAACTGTTATTTATACTGTTTTTATTTCTATGTTCAATTTGTGGAAAGGAGTTTAATCATGAGGTCACACACAGACTCAATCAGAAGTTCTGGAAGCTCATGAATGTACAGTACGGTCTGAAGAGACTCATGTGAAATCATACAGGAGAAAAGCCAGTCAGCTGAGTTTGTGGCAAAACCTTTTACAGTGCTTGTATATTGTTGTCTTTCAATGCATTTGATCATTTATGGCTCGTTTCCATTGAGTGGTACGGTACAGTTCGGTACGCAATTATTTGCGTTTCCACTGTCAAAAGTTGTGAATGGTACCAAAAAGCCGAACCGTACCACTTTTTGGGTACCCTTCCGTTGGGGTACCTAGCACAGTGGTACGGTACTAAAAGGTGGAGCTAGACGGATATTGGTTGACAGAGTATCGTCACTTGCGCGTGCTACAAGGGCATTAGAAGCATACAGTTGAAATATAATACTACTGTTATTGTCACGAAATGTAGTTTTAAGAGTTTTTCAGGCGAGAAAGTAGTTTTTTAAAGCTCAAATCTGTGGTTTATTAATAGATTTATGATCATTTGAAGATCCATTCCAAGCAATCACCGGACGCTCGGCGCTCGTGCACCCCGCCTGGAGCAGCCTTTCCCCGGCTAGCCGTTCTGATGTTTGCCGCTGACTCTGACGTCTCTGTAGTGGTTAAACATGAGATATAATTCGTATTGTATAGACCTAACAGGCGATCTTTGGTCTCGTGAATCTATAATTCGTTCCCTGGCCAAAAGTTTTGGCAGAAGGCTAAGTGAAGTTTCATATATTTGAGCGCTAAATTTGTATATTTGACTGAATTGTTTGCGTTATTAAAGCTTTACTGTATATCTTTTTGTACCTTTTACTTATACTTTTATAATGGCTATTATTGATAAACCTGAAATTCAACAAAAAGAGATAGAGTTTTGTCATTTTTTTATTTTATAACAAGATCATCTGTAATGTTTATTGCAAAATGTGTACCAATGCAATATGCAATACATTGGCTGGAATATGTTTCATGTTTTTAAATTTAAACGAAAAGAGGCAGGGTTGTGTTTTATATTTAGTTTTGTTATAAATATAAAGTTACATGCAGTGAATATAATCAATAGGCTATGCGTTGCCTGAACCACATGTGTGTGCTTATAATGTTTAAAATGTATTTAAATGAAATCGAAAAGCAGAGTGGTGTTTTATAACATATTTCATTTTATTGTTGCCTTAAATGTACATAACCGGAGTAGCAGAGCGAGCTGAGTGGCGCTTTCAAGAACGCGCTGTTCCATCCGCAGAATTACTGGACTCGCGTCCTCGGGATCATTCTCCTGAGTCGGACTTTGCGTGGCTACTTGGTATTGAGAAACGCCTAATGCCAGCGCTTGTTTCTTGTGACAAACATGCCGAGAAGCAAGAACAAGATCTGCTGTCTGTCATCCATTGTTGTTGTTGTTTACTATGTCGCTTTCTTCGCGCGAAAATGACGTCGGTCGCTTCTTTCCGGCAAACACCACGCCTATCAAGTAAGGGTAACTGTTGGCAGTGGAAACGCTAGCCGGATCATGCTGTACCGACCCGACCCGTACTGTACCGTACCGTACGCCTCAGTGGAAACGAGCCATTATACTCAAAGTAGAACTGAAATGACATTCATTACAAGATTATTAGTTAAAACATTTTAAAATGCACCTGCAGACTATTTTTCCAGTCATGAATTTTGTCATTGAGGATTTCTATAGAATATTGTGCAAAAATCTCGACTCGTGAGATAAGCGTCTCGTCACACCCCTACTGCATTTATCCAGCTCAATCACTCTACCTTTCTGTGAATTACAGTTAATTACTGTTAATCTTTTGCATATGGTCACATTATTCCTAATTAAGGCTAAACTCATTTTACCTAGGATTTCATTCATGCATAGGTTATTACATATTTATTGCTAGCAAGTAATGATAATCACATAAATCAAGTTTTTTTTAGACATGCCCCTATAATTTAGTAACAGAGTTTAAAATATATGCTAATATAAATGGAAAAAAATGTACTTCATGAGGTGGATCAACATCATCATATTTGAATGTTAAGGCCATTATTTACTTCTAGCGAAATCAAAGAACGAACTGGTGTTACATCATTTAAAACCAAGGCCAAGGAGTTCAGAACAGCTTGCCAAACCAGAAACCTTCCCTTCGAACTAGCATTGGTCTGTGGTGATTGCATAACAGATCAGGGCCTCAAAGCACCTCATTTCACTGACGCTTTATTGAAATAACACAACTGTCAGTTTCAAGTCCCCCTCTTTAACCCATTCATGGAAAATGACGGATAATAAAAAAACTGCACCCAACATTCAAAATCTAAATTCCTCACACTTCAGAGAATGAATGCGGAGATGTGCCGTACTGACACTAATGATATCCGAGCACTCTGGTGTCTGTGGAGACATGACCCAGCTTGTCTACAGCATGAATGCATCAACTCAACCGGTTCAGTTTTACAACTCGTACAAGTAGAAGAAAGTCTTACCGGGGGAATTGGCCAGTGACGCGTGAAACACAGAGAAGTTGATGAGGGCGTATGATGCCAGGAAGAAGTTGGAAATGATTGGGGCGATGACGTTCAACTCCGCTGGAGAAATGAAAAACAAGTGCATGCCAGAGTGAGGTGACCTCATCTGTGATGAATAAAACTATTTGATTAGTTTATTTCCACCTACCAATGAGAATGAAGGCCAAGGCAATGCCAAAGGTGAGTAAATATCCTCGCAAGGGCTCATTGTTCTTGCCGTAGCCCTTCCCAAAAACACCGATTCCAGGATAGATATTGTCTTTGCATAAAGCCTGAGGGAAATGGAAAAATCCATCAAAGCAGCAAGACAAGTTCACACAGAGCTCACACAGGCACTGGAGTGGAACCACACACTCGACGCATGCGGACACACACTACTGTTAACTCGAGACGACACCCACCTGGAAGACTTTCGGGGCGCTGACGAGAGACGCCAGGGCGGAGGAGAGGGTCGCAGAGAAGATCCCCGCTGTGATGAGCGGACTGAAGCCCGACACCACACTCATGACCTTTAGCACAACACAGTCAGTCACCAATCCTTTCCAAAGCCTAATGCGCTTACGTCCTTACTGTAATGGACGTGATTCTGAGCGCTCACACATGGACCACAAGAGCTTCCAGTAGAGTTTGACATTAGCATGTATTAGGGGTGGGCGATCTTCCCAAAGTTTCACAATCTTATAACAACCAATCACCATCTGAATCGCAATCTTCCCAATTTTGAGATCTAGGCTACTATCGAGAATATCCAGATTGGAACAAGCCTATGGACTGATCCATTTTCACAATTTAAAACAGTCTTGCATTAAACAATCAGTTGTCAAAATAGGCATTAAACTAGTGGTCGACCGATAGTGGTTTTTGAAGGCCAATGCCGATATCTTAAGAGCAGACTGGCATCTCTAAAAAAAACACATCTCTAAATGAAACCGACTTGAGATTGTAACTTCTTGTAATCATATTACTGTATTTTTTAACAAATAAAGAAATTGTTTGGAAAAAATATGAATAAAAAGGAAGTAAACACTGTAATCAACAGGGCACTCGGTAATCTGGTAAATTTGTGCGCACTAGGAATCATATTTTTTCAAAAAAAGACAAGCTAGCACTAATTTTACATAGAGCACAGTGAAAATGACATGAATATGGACAGTGGGCAACTGGATATAGCGAGCACAGTTTGAAATCAAGGGTTGAAGTTTGTCGACCGTGCGTCTCCAGTGAAGCTGATCTGACGGTCACGCACAGTAACACGACGATTGACTTCAGCATATCTGACAGCTGGATTCAACTAAAGTTTGTGAAATTAAATGTTTATTGGATATTGACGTTTAAATTATATAAATGCGCATATTGCTGAATGCTGACTGAAGGTAAAGAAAGTATTAATACCGTTTGGCTTTTTCTAATAATATGAAAGCAAACGCTATGATACTCTTTCGTATACAGTTTACATTCTTTAACAGTTCTATCCAGTAACGTATTTCTACAAAGCTGTTAAACAGAGGCCGTAAACGAATGAAGGCGGAGAATGTGGCCGCTGTGCTCAGGCGCTGCCATTCGCAGAGCCGTCAAAATAAAAGTCCCGATAATTACTAAGGACAAAAGATCAAGATCTCTACGATTCGCCTGAAAGTAGATCTGGACATCTTCAAGATCGATCACGATATAAAATCGTCAGATCGCCCACCCCTAGCATGTAGAGAATGACACTAGCAAACAAAAATACATAGCGCACGCACACAAATATAAAGTAAAGGCTGCCGCAAAACTCTCAAAGCTAATCATGGTACGTCCTCTTCCTTTTATAAGTGCTGGATACCTCATTTTGGCCAAAGTCTAGCACAGCGTCGATCCTGGAGTGCCGCTGTCCTGCAGAGTTTAGCACAAACACACCTGAGCAAGCTAATCAATGTCTTCAGGATTACTAATGCTAAAGGCAGGCGGGTTTATATCAGGGTTGGAGCTAAACTCTGCAGGACCGCGGCACTCCAGGATTGACGTTGCCTGGTCTAGCATGTGGAAGAGTCTTTGCATCAGGAGGCCTTAAAAGCAGCTCATAGTGTAGGAAAAGTGTCTGCTGTTGATGATGTACCTGAAAGTCATGGTGAAGGCCAAACTTGCAGGCAGACTTCCCTCCCTCACCCATTTGTCTGCAGGAATTGAAGTCATAGCCGAACTTACAGGCCGCATCAGTGCAGTTTACAATACCAGTGAGAGTGACGTTACTCTCAATGCCTGTGGCATCCCTCACGATGCAAGCACCTTTCAACAAAGCAATCAATAAATCAGAACACAACTCGTACAGTTCTACTTCATATGATGTGCGATCTAACAGCGTTTACCTGCAGAAATGGCCACACCGATGTACACGAGGCCCGTGATGAGAATGGCCAGAAGTGTTCCTTTCGGGATGGCCAGTTGAGGGTCCTTAGAGAGATTACACATATACAGAGATCTTGGCAGTGAGGAACTGTGTGTGTGAGGAACAGTAAACATGTGGTGAGGAAGTGAAAGGCAACACTCACTGCTAGATCTCCTGAGATGTTGGCACCAGCCAAAATGCCCGTGGCCGCCGGGAAGAAGATGGAAAAAACGGAGAAAAACGTTTCTCCTCGAAAGTCTGGGCCAAAGTTATCCGCAAAGATGCCAGCTAAAGAGAGGGTGGATAATTATGTAGTTACATTGTTAATGAAAACGACACATGGAAAATAATAAAACATTAAAAGAAAATGACCAGTAGCCTGGGTCAAGAATCTTGAACAACTGTTTCTTAAACGGTTCACATTAAAGACCAAAGTTTTAATTTGGATGTCAAGTGGCCTGCAAGTGGTCATTTATTTAATTAAAATGTGTTAATATTATACCACAGTATTATATTATACTAAAATCTCAGAAGGCTTGTTATTATAGTTCCTGCGTCTCTTGAATTTTGCTGGTTTCCTCCTTTCTGCAGTGACTTTATTCACCACACAAAACATGTTTATCAAATACCGTCGACTTTGATTCGACACACACCCTTTTACAGACATGAGAAGTGTAGTCTTCTCTCTGTTAAGATTTCGTTTATTTTGTCATGTGGTATCATTAAACATGAAGCATTGCTTTCTCCCTGCTGTCTGTGTGCCATCAGACAAACCAGCGGAGAACCACCGGGCTAGAGGATCAACGTCGCACTTACTGTCATAGCCGAAGAAGCCAAATCTCTCCTTGGACTCGACAGGGATGAACGACCCAATAAAGTAGTTGAAAATGGCAGTGATCAAAATGACCAAGAGGAATATCTGAGCCTATGAAACAAAACCATGTTGACAAATCATGAATTTGAAAGGTCAGAAACTGGCTAATGTTCAAAGAAACTGAATAAGTGTCCTGCCTTGGCCTCCCACTCCATGCCGGCCACTGAGATGCCCAGAAGCAGGATCACCGTAATGGTCCCAATGATTCTCACGTCATTGATCTGATCGAACATGAGCGCACCAGAACTCTAAACACACAAACACATTATGATCATGTTATCTACCATTCTATACACAATCATATAAAGCAATAAATGATGAGCAATGCATGAGAGAATATAAAGGTGTCTTACGGCGAGCAGCTCAACAACAGTCTCTGCAAAGCCGACGACGTACATGGCCACGGCCACAGCGTTGGCGAAGGCGAAGATCAGGCCGATGGAGCCGCCGAACTCTGGGCCCAGGCTTCGAGAGATCAGGTAATACGCTCCACCTGGGGAACACATGTTACAACACATCAGCTTTCAGAAGACACATCAAGCTTGATTTATGGCACCCTCGGCATTAAGAGACTTTTAAAAAATATTGTGAAAATCAAACCAAACATTTTTTTAAACAGTCTGTATTGATGTTGCGATGATTTATATAAAAAAATTATAATTACTTTAGCTGTAATGAAGTCATTCTCGAGTCATACAGTTCAAGTCAAGTCTCGAGTCATAGGATCTCAAGTCAAAGTCAAGTCAAGACATTTTCATTTAGTCAAGCAAGTCTCAAGTCCTTAAGTGTGCGACTCGAGTAAAGTCATGTGACTCGAGCTCCCCGCCTCTGATGAACAAACATTTGCATTTGATGAAGGTCATGAAGTTCAGTGCGAGGACCCACATGTTTTCTAAAGGGGATATTGCTTACTCACACATTTAATTATTTATTTTATATTTTACCCAGCATCATTTGACTGACAAATGCTACAGACTTTCACAAAACTCAAATCAGTGTGTGTGTGTCTGAAGGATCGGCCCCAGTGTGTGTGTGCCTGAAGGATCGTGTGTCTGAAAAGTGGCAGGGGCTCAGCACGTACCCCTGTGGATCATACTATGATTAAAATTGCCATATTAAAACCAACTCTAAAGATTTTTCTTTTGATCTCTTAAAATAAAAAAAAGAGCAGTGCAGCATCCGAACAGTTTAGAGAGCGCACAGGCTTGCAACGGGGGACACACTACTCGAATGAGGCTTACTTGACAACAGCAGTTCCTATCAAAATTTAATGAATAGAAAACAAAACAACCTTAAATAACGTATAACTCTAAAGGACCGGACACTGATCGGAACCAGCTGATAATCACAGATTGTAATGATGCAAAAGAGCTCAGGCACTGGGAGGCGAAAAGAAAAGGCTGAGTCTCCACTGGGCTTGAGTAAAATAATAATGCAGTTATGAGGTGTGTGCAATTAAACGACCTTATTACATAATTTCACTAATGGTAGATGCTGTTCAGTTTGCTCTCCTTCGACTCTCTGAACTCTTCCCTCTCCTCATAAAGCTCCAGTGAAGCGCGGCCATAGAGCAGACAAATAAGCAAATCAGGGCCCTTAAAACACAGTATAATAAACAGACATGGCAAAACTGTACCATGAGAACACATTAAAACAATATAACTAGTGATACCAATATCCTAAAAAATGAAAAAGGCAGGAAATGTGATTTATTATTATAAATTTATTGAAGTACAACAATAACGTGAGATGGGAGGGTCGGGGACAATAAATTCAAATTCAAAAACGAGTTTTAAAAAAAGCAAATCAAAACAACTCTAAAAATCTATTTTATGCAATATTGAGAACCAATTTTTAACTGAATCATGACCCCAAGCATCGATTATAAAAATTCCAAAAGATTCACTCCTATACATTTTTTTTTTTAAAGAAAGTAACCAGATTGAGTATTGGCACAGACTGACGTGAGCATTTAAGATCGATCTTATTTTTGAAAGTGTGTGTGTGTTTGAATTGGGGGGGGGTGTTTAATAAATTACTGGAATACCAGGGACGATTAGGCCTAATCTCAGATTAACGCAGTGACGAAGTATTAGCACATTCATACACACTATTCAAAACCTGCATGCAATGCTGAAAACGGAAATATGTCAAGTAGTAAATATGTCCTGCGAGTGTGGGAAAATGTAAATTATCTGGAAAGAGTGGCAGGGACAACTAAATATCCATGAGCATCTCAAACAAACCCAATCCTACAAATACACACCCTCCCATAACTGGGTTCATAACTAATGCCTGAGGAGCTCATGGAAAAATATTGATTTCGCTTCCACACGGAAACCAAAATGTTATCTAGTGCCATCACCCCTGTCTAACAGATGGAGGCCTGAAGAGTGGGTCAACTATCCATTTCTGACTCCAGACTGCCAGTGAACGGCTCCATCGCCTGAGAGAAACACACAGATCTCCAAACACTATTGAATTTCCCCTCAAGCTGTGAGAACTAGAAGCGTAGCGCCGCGCACCTTCATCTGTCGGGAGCTAATGCCAGAGCGGTTAGATGCGTCATCCACTCATGCACTCAGACCAGAACACACCTTAGTGGGAATAATTACATAAAAGAGACTATTACAGTTCAAAAAAAGACTACGCACCCCCCAAAAAACTAACACACCTCAGTTCTGAAGACTTCAGGGACAACACACAGGGCTTTCACACTGCACTAACCCCGGGGTACCGTCCTTCTGAACACAGCTCGCTTAGAAGCGGGGTTATGAAATATTAAATATGCAAATAAGGATGTTAACCCAGGGTTCGGGAATGTACAGTGACCCGCCATAGTCCGGCTGCGCTCCGGCTACACTGATGAGGGTCCACCGGCTCGTTTCCACCACAGAAGAAAACATTTCAAAAGATAACTGAGACTTTTTCATCTCACATTCTGACTTCATTTCTCTGAATTGTGAGATATAAACTCGCACTTGCGAGATGAAAATTATCTTTTAAATAAATTTAAATTTTATTAAGTTCAATACGAAGGACTTTTTTCCTCAGAATTACGAGTTTATAGATCACAATTCTTTTTAACACACAATTGCGACTTTATATCAGGCAATTATGACTTTATATCTCCCAGTTGTGTGTTATAAAGTCAGAATTGCGAGATATAAACATGCAATTCTGGAAAAGAAAAGCGGCAGGTTATGAATCAACCCTGTTACAATCATAATAACCATCTCTTATTGAACACTACTCCAGACCCCAAAGAACAGAATGACAAAACACTGCTAAAGTCTAAAAGTCTCCTCTTTTCCATTACATGCTTTATGTTGAGTGCAAAGAGGACTGTTGAAGATGAGCTTAATGTCCATAATGTGTAAATGATTAGTAAACCTCTAGTCGGTTACATGTTATTGCGTTTAGTTATCTGTTCAGAATCATGGGACAATTGTGATCTCTGTTTGAAACTACGTGCAGCTTTACTGGATGATTACAGAAATATCTGCATTAAATTCACATTGTGTCATGATTGATTCGATGTGTTCCTGTTTGAAGTGGGTATTTGATCATACAGACACCACATGACCATTTAGCACATGGTGAATACCTTTATCCAAACAAAGACCACTCAAAGGGTCCCTGTGTTATAACAAGTATCATCAGTGATTGACATGGATGCAGTGTCAATGCACACTTCATCTTTTATAGATTACCTCCTCGTACAAAGCCGTTGGTTGCGATGGCGGACGTCGAGCAGCCTGTGATGGTCGTCACCACCGTCGCCATTATAACAATGACGCAGGAGTACGCTGTGGAAATAAACGAGACGACAGTGAACATCTGTGCCGACTCACGGTTCCTCAGAGACCGCACTAAACACGAGTCCGGCTTCATCGGTGTCCTCCGGTGCGGGGCGGGGCGACTCTCAGCGCCTCACAGACACATTCAGCATGTGCATGACAGATGACTGCAGCTCGATGGAAAACACAGAAGTTTGCTTGTGAATTGAAGTGCTAATTCACACGGCCGACCAAAGTCAAACCTACCAATTCCAGCCTGGCCCACGATCCATGTCATTCGAATGAAGAGCATCACACCCCATATGTTTAACATGCAGCGCACCTGCACAGAGGAAGATGCAGTTTAGACTCATGCTGACAAGAACATCAACGGCCAAAGCCGCTTCTCAAACCTGGCCAGGGGCCGGCCGTGGCACTAGCGACCTCTGACCTCTGGACAGGAACCCATCCGTGTTTGAAGGAAAGCTGTGGGCTAAAGTCTATAGACAGCATGTCCATTACACCAGAGAAGAGTTATGGCTGTTAGAGTAACCGTCCCAGACCTCCAGAGGCGTTATGAGAACAGAGAGGTCATGCTGGGGAACCTTAAAGGGCTGGTTCACACGAAAAATAATATTCTGTCAGTAATTCTGTCATCTTCTCAGTTCTCGCGCATGCGTCGTGGCTCTCGTGAACTCACTCGAGGCCCAGTGTGTGTGTGTGTGTGTGTGTCGCGCCTCTCATGAACTCACTCGAAGCCCTGTGTGTGTGTGTGTGTGTCGCGCCTCTCATGAAGTCACTCGAGGCCCTGTAACTCGAGGTGTGTGTGTGTGTGTGTGTGTGTGTGTGTGTGTGTGTGTCGTAGCTCTCGTGAATTTACTCGAGGCCCAGTGTGTGTGTGCCGTGGCTCTCGTGAACTCACTCGAGGCCCAGTGTGTGTGTGTATGTGTGTCGTAGCTCTCGTGAACTCACTCGAGGCCCAGTGTGTGTGTGTGTGTGTGTGTGTGTGCCGTGGCTCTCGTGAACTCACTCGAGGCCCAGTGTGTGTGTGTGTGTGTCGCGCCTCTCATGAACTCACTCGAGGCCCAGTGTGTGTGTGTGTGTGTCGTAGCTCTCGTGAACTCACTCGAGGCCCAGTGTGTGTGTGTGTGTGTGTGTGTGTGCCGTGGCTCTCGTGAACTCACTCGAGGCCCAGTGTGTGTGTGTGTGTGTGTGTGTATTGTAGCTCTCGTGAACTCACTCGAGGCCCAGTGTGTGTGTGTGTGTGTGTGTGTCGTAGCTCTCGTGAACTCACTCAAGGCCCAGTGTGTGTGTGTGTGCCGTGGCTCTCGTGAACTCACTCGAGGCCCAGTGTGTGTGTGTGTGTGTGTGTATCGTAGCTCTCGTGAACTCACTCGAGGCCCAGTGTGTGTGTGTGTGTGTGTGCCGTGGCTCTCGTGAACTCACTTGAGGCCCAGTGTGTGTGTGTGTGTGTGTGTGTGTGTGTCGCGCCTCTCATGAACTCATTTGAGGCCCAGTGTGTGTGTGTGTGTGTGTCGTAGCTCTCGTGAACTCACTCGAGGCCCAGTGTGTGTGTGTGTGTGTGTGTGTGCCGTGGCTCTCGTGAACTCACTCTAATTAATAGTTGAATAAAGTCATTATTAGTTTGTTTTTTGCGCACAAAAAGTATTCTCATCGCTTGATAAACTTAAGGTTGAGCCACTGTAGTCACTCGGACTATTTTAACGATGTCTTTAGTAACTTTTCTGGGCCGGCAGATGAAATGACCTCGCAGCCTATAGTATGGAGGAGTGAGACAGCGCTCAGATTTAATAAAAAACATCTTCATTTGTGTTCTGAAGATGAACGAAAGTCTTACGGGGTTGAACAACATGAGGGAGAGTCATTACTGACAGAGTTTTCATTTTTGGGTGAACTATCCCTTTAACATTCAGTCGTATTACTGATCTGACGCTGTAGTTGTGTGAGAACTGAACTGAGCTGGGCGATGACATCATTTTTGCAGAACTGCTTTAGACAAAATAAACTAATTGATAATCTTTACAACAGAACTGGATCAACACTGAACTGACTTCAGCTGAAATGCATTATGTCACTGTTATCTCTGTGAAGCTGCTTTGAAACAGTCCGTGTTGTATTAAGCACTATAGAAATAAAGGTGACTTGTTTAAGTGGTTTATGTGATCTGTAAAGCATCTAAACGATCTTTTAGTGGCGTGCCTACTGTTCTAGGTGGATAAACTTCTGGTTACGTGTTACTTTTATTCAATTTATTCATTTAAAGATTATTACCGTAATTCGTGTGTGTGAGTTTGCTCCAAGTACATCATGTCCTTTTCTGGAGTCTCTGGGTTTACATGGTCTTGACAGCAAAGTTTAGAGATTATATATAACTTTACACAGATCAGTGTGTGATTCTTTCACACTAGCCTCATGTGAACAGTGTTTAAGCGACACTAAACAGCATGGGCTGTAATGTTCATTACCTGTCCTTGCACTTTCACTGTAAGAGCCTTACTCTACCTACAGGTTTTTATTTATTTGTTTAATAGAGGGAAGAGTTGATGTTTTTCTGAGGTAAGGGACATTACTCAGCAAAGGCTGTCCTCGAAACACACAACGCTTCAAACACTGAATGAATTCCTGCCGTGGTTTGAAAGACACTTTGGATGAAAATGAATTTTCACTTGTCGACACTATGAGAAGCTGTTTGGTGTCAAATGTTAAGACTGGGAAGGTGAAAATGAGGACAACTTCAAGGACGAGGAAGACCTGTCAAAATATTGACCAAAAGACAAGAAGCAGAGCAGATCTGTGATCCATAAAGCTTTTACTGGATTCAAACCCCCCCTCCTGTGTCATAATCTGTTCTGAGCAGAACCACAGCTTGTTGAGAGCATTAGCACAGTAAACATTACAACAGCATGACAGTTTAACATTCAGCCTCTAATATGAGTCTGTACAGGCAGCAGATCTAGCAAACTCATGAAAGATCAATTATCACCCACAGCAGGAACTCTCACTCATCAGCATTCCTGGCTCTTTAAACGGCTGCCACAAGTCACAAGTCAAGTGTCCCTCTGATTCAGAGGTTCATACATCATCCAGTCACCTGACCTCTGGTATACTCATCTTACCAGCACTCCTTTGATCCAGCCGAACTTCACCACCCCTTTGGACTCGGACGCCTCTTTAGCGGCGGCCTCCTCGGCAGGGGTCAGCTCTTCGCCGTTAGCAAACCCGTCCTCAAACGGCTCCTGCGATCACACACACACACACACACACACACACACAGGCATTAATACATCTGATGTGAAGGCTTCTCTATGGGATAGCATGCTGATCAACTGCTCTACACCCAAAGCCTCCAACCCTGCTCCTGGAGAGCTACATTACATGAAATGAATCAATTAAATTAAAGTAATGTCAGTGTGTGAGCCGTAGCGTTGTTAACCACCACACACACACACGTCGGGCCCCGCAGGTTTGAGGGCCCCTGCTGACCAAGCCGTTAAATCAGCTGATGACCTCAATTACATATTGCTTCCGTAACCAAATTTAGAAAGCTGCAAACACTGTTCCCGGGTCACGGTTTATTGTGAATAAGCCTAAATTAATCCAAGAAGAGACACGATTGCTTTAAATGATGAGCAGATTTACACTGCTCGATTCATGAGTCTTAATGACAGTTTTGAAGCGTCAGAGTTTCAATGGAGGCACAGAAATCTCCCAGATTTCATTAAAATAGGCTCTCTTCACATTTGTTTCCCAAAGATGCACGAAAGTCATAAGGGTTTGGAAGGGCATGAGGTTAAGTAAATGATGGCATTCATCTTTGGGTGAACTAACACTGGCTCAGCACCGAAGCAACCTCGCCGATCTGGTTAGAGACGGACGCGCTAGTGCTTGTCATTCATCACAACTGTGCAGGTTTTGTTCAACAACGTTTCATTTATGTTTCATTTAATACACGTAGGCCTAATACTAGGGAAAAAAAAATAGTATTTACATATTTAGTTTGTAAAATACGCAGCAATTAAAACTTCCAATTTGACACGTGTTTTATTCACGTCAGAAATGCATGGTGTAGGGAACTAAATACGTTATTACTTTATTCTTCTCCCAGATCACCAGCCACTTACTTTCATGTCTTTCGGGAGAAGCGGATGAATTTGCGTGGTGTAAATCCGACAACTCTGATTCTCTGCGCTGAAGAGCAAACCATTGCATGGTGTCGATCACCCGTTATCATTTAACATGATCATCATAAGAGTGTTCAAAAGACTAAACACAATCACTAATCACTATTTGAGAATAGGAATATCAGATCGGCTATTTCACAATAAGACGACACTCGTTCAAGCTCAAACCAAGAGTTGTATTTTCTCATAGCTAAATGGATTCTGTGTCATTCTGAATATTGAAGACAATGGACAAGACTCTTGATGAATCCAAAACCAAGGAGGTTTAGATCTTAAAGTTTAAGGAAGCGAAGTACCAAAGTGTAGACAATTTTTGTTATATACTGTACATTTAATTTACTCTAAACTGCATGTTTAAATGTCTCACTTCGATCCTGACTTTGCTTGGGGCCCCAAACGGTGAACCGGCCCAGTGTGAGTTTGCTCAACTACATCATGTCCCTTTCTGGAGTCTCTGGGTTTACATGGTCTTGACAGCAAAGTTTAGAGACTACATATAACTTTACACAGATCAGTGTGTGATTCTTTCACACTAGCCTCATGTGAACAGTGTTTAAGCGACACCAAACTGGCTGTAATGTTCATTAACTGTCCTTGCACTTTCACTGTAAGAGCCTTACTCTACCTACAGTTGTTGCGGTTTATTTAAATTACTCAAGGAAAAATGAATTCTCTTCATGTCACAGGGGTTCAAGGTCTGCAAGATAAAGGTCTGCTGGTAATGCTGTCGTCTGAAGGAAGATTTAACTATGTAGAAGTTGCACTAATGCAAGTGAAAATGAACTGTAAACATAAAAATCCTCCTGCCTTCGAGACTAGGCGACCCCTAACACACACATTGTTAGGTTACGTTTGTGGAAGGTCAAACGCCGGAAGAGTCCCTCCTCCACAGAAACAATGGCGTGACGAAAGCAGAGGCTCCTGGGATATATACACGACCCTGCACATCCACACAGAGCACACACTTTACAATGACAATGTGGGAACTTTACAACATCCTGTCCCGGCACACATAAAGCTGGAGCCCTGAGAGCCGAGCGCAGAGCCGGGGGCCGTATCGACATCTGCTACATCAGGGTCAATGAGGACGAACGCACAGACACATCTCTCATATCTTCAGCAAAGAGGAGCCGTGATCAGATGTGGCGTTCAGGCTCTGCTCACTCCACACCAGCACATATCTTCAGGATATTCGTTCCTGCAGGAAGGGCACGCGAGCTGACGTCCTCTTACTCGACCTTGACCAAATGAGTGAGTGTTGACAGGACTCATACGGGTGACATCGAGTTGTGATTATTGATAGCTGATGGCTTCAGGACATACTGTATTGAACATGTAATGTTTTTGGCAGTACTGTCCACAGAAATCACCACTAACCCTCGATGAATAACACAGAGACGGTGGGGGGCAAATAACACTCAGAAATTATTTGTTACCACACATACACAAATTGTGATTAGTGGTTAAAAAAAGCTTTTCAAAATCAAACACCATTCAACAATGACAGCAAATAATGTGAACTGATTCACAGCAGAATCTCTAAACGGGCTTCCCAGAACAACAAATGTTATTAATATGGGAAGGAAAAGTGGTCAACCTTTACATGGACGAGGCAGATGAACTGGGCGAGGGATAGAGGTCTGCTGGTAATGGTGGTGAACTGGGCGAGGGATAGAGGTCTGCTGGTAATGGTGGTGAACTGGGCGAGGGATAGAGGTCTGCTGGTAATGGTGGTGAACTGGGCGAGGGATAGAGGTCTGCTGGTAATGGTGGTGAACTGGACGAGGGATAGAGGTCTGCTGCTAATGGTGGTGAACTGGGGGAGGGATAGAGGTCTGCTGGTAATGGTGGTGAACTGGGCGAGGGATAGAGGTCTGCTGGTAATGGTGGTGAACTGGGCGAGGGATAGAGGTCTGCTGGTAAAGGTGGTGAACTGGACGAGGGATAGAGGTTTAGTTTAGTTTAGTTTATTAAGATCCCCATTAGCTACTGCAAAAGCAGTAGCTATTCTTCCTGGGGTCTATAGACTTCAACAACAACAAAAAAAATATTCGTATAACATAAAACCGTACATTATATAGACAAAAATGGAGTGTACACATTCTTACATAACCATACAACAACGTACTAAAAGAAAAAACAATAAAACAACAAAAACGACAGCTCTACAATATGCATTATCACAGTACACAGTTACAGCAATACTACTATAGGGTTAATAATTAAATAAAGTACCACATATAAATAATAACAATTATTCAAATGTAAATAAATAAAGTCTTAATCTTTTACGAAAATTCATAGCATTCATTCCCAAAATCAAGAACTGCGGAAGAGAATTCCATGCCACCATTGCTCTATACAGCACCGTCCTTTGTATAAGGTTAGTTCGACACAAAGGTAACAAAAAGCGACTCTCTGTTGACTGACGAGTGGAATATTGATGCACAGCACTAAAAAAAGACAGTCTGCTGTATAATACTTCTGGCATTTTTGTAACAATAATTTTTCTAACAAAATTAACAATACAATAATTAATCCTACTTTTTACACTTAACCAAACTAACCTAGTATTCAAGTCTCTAACACTAGTCCTAAAAGGGCAATTTAAAACTACCCGGGCTGCTTTATTTTGAGCAACTTGCAATTTTCTTAAGTTCATTTCAGTTGTACTTGACCAAATAATTGAACAATAATCCAAAAGTGATAGAACTAAGGATTCTACTAATATTTTCATCACTCGATTTGGAATAAATTTTCTACAATGCTTAACAACTGCCAGACTCCTGCCCATTTTCAATAATATTTGATTTATATGACTATTCCAATTTAACAAATTATCAACAATCACACCGAGTAGCTTTGCCTCCGTAACCTGTTCTATCACAATACCCCCCACAGTCAGACTCAACACAAGCGGATCTTTTAACAAATACTTGGATCCCAGCACCATACATTTACTTTTCTCTGCATTAATCACCATATTATTGTCCCTAATCCAATTTTCAATTAGTTTCAGTTCTACTTGTAAAACTTTGTTAAGTTCAACAAGGGTTTGCGCGGACGTGTAAATTGTAGAATCATCTGCATATAGGGCCATGGTGGAATTCTCTAAAACAAAAGGCAGATCATTCGTAAAGATAGAAAACAAAAGCGGCCCAAGGCAACTCCCTTGTGGCACACCACAATCGAGAGTCTGTATATCAGAATTACTCCCATTAAATGTTACAATAAACTCCCTATTGGCAAGATAACTTTTAATCCATTCAATAGCAGATGTTTCAAAACCATAACAGATTAACTTTTCCAACAAAATTTCATGATCAAGTACATCAAAAGCAGCACTCAGATCTAACAATACTGTTCCAACAATTTTTTTATTTTCAATATCTTTTATCCAATCCTCAGTTATCTGAGCCAAAGCTGTTGTTGTAGAATGTTCCTTCCTGTATGCATGCTGATAAACAGAATTTAAATCATTTATGCTAAAATACATACTTATTTGTTCATAAACAATTCTTTCTGTAATCTTACTCAGAATAGATAAAATACTAATCGGTCTACTATTTTTTCCCGACAGTGGTTCCTTCTTATTCTTTATAAGTGGCATAATTTTAGCAACTTTCCAACTAGTAGGACAAATGCCTTTCTCTAAACTTAGATTTATTATATAACTTATAGGCCTAGCAATTACATCAGCTACTATTTTTAATAATTTTGCATCAAGGTTATCAGCACCTGATGGTTTCTCTTTAATTACTTTTAATAAACTCTCAACAGTAGTAGTACTTACTCTTTCAAAGTCAAATTTGCATGCTTTATTTCCCATTATTTTATTACATATTGTTCTATTATTTAAATAACTTTTTTGTTTCAGATTCATACCTTGTCTTAAAGTTGAAACTTTATTCTTGAAATAAGAACTTAAATGATTTGCAATATCACTGGGTTTAGTCAAAAAGGATCCTTCAACTTCAATAAAAGATGGCACCATTTTAGCTTTTCTTCCCATTATTGTATTAAGCATACTCCAAATTTTATTACTATCAGATTTA